TGTAATGGAGCAGAAGCTATTAGTTTTCTTAAACAAGGAAGAGTATTTCTTCCTACATCTTCTGCCAGTGCAAGGGGTAATACGTAAATTCTGCAGCTGTAGTAGCTGTGCACTTACGAAACATTGTTTTACGTGATCTGTCCATAGACCTGCAATAATGCTATAAAAATGTGCAAATTTACTTTTAGAGCTGAAGTTTTTGTTTTGAATTCAGTAGATGAGATTCAGGGCCATTAAAATTCCTAAAGATCACAGGTATTTTGGTACATGGGACAAAATTACCATTTCCGTTTGTAGTAATTAATCAATTGAGCTTATTGAAAATGATGCTGTTCTTCAGAATTCTCATTTGTGAATAACTGTAAGAACTCATTTTGGAGCATTAAGTATCTGTATGAAAATGATTGAAGAAAGAAGGTCTGTTTAAACCACAAAGGGTTTGTATGTAATGTGTGCTGTCTGTTAATGTAACTGATGGGGGACTGGCCTCAGGTGGCTCCATTGCATAGAGGCTGATGCTTGGAGTATACCATGAGGATATTTAGGCAAGGAGTGGCATTTTTGTAACATGCATGTTTTCAGGGTATGCAAAAGAGATTTTTTTACATGTGATGGCTCATTTGAGCTTTGTATAGAAGGAGTTATTTTAGTTGGTAACAGACTGATGACTGAAGTTAAGAGTATTAGATATGTTTCATTCCAAGTATTCCAGTGTTTTTACAGCACACAGAGCTCTATTAAGGAACTTTTTAATGCCAGTCTGTGTCTAAGAGCTACTCCTTGCAGTACTATCATGGCCACCTGTTTTGCCTTCCTGTACCTTCCACTTACTAAACAGCTCCCATTTTGCAGCAGTTTCCCTCTATTTGCTAACCTTCCACTGCAGCTTCTTCAGTCAACCAGATGACTATCAGTGGAGACCAGTCTTACAGTACTCACTGATATTTTAGTAGTGCTTTTGTGTTTAGTGGAAAAAATGGCATGCAAAGGCTTGTCTTGCTGCTTCTGAGATTGTGGGTTGTCAGCAAGATGTAAGGACAGACGTTTGTCACTTTCTTCATCACACTTGGATCATACGTAAAAGATACTTATTCTAGGTACTGATGTCAGGATTGATGTCATGTGTTGAGTACTGAAATTAGACACGAACCTTGAATCTTCCTCATTCTAGAAACTTACTATAGGTGTACTTTATTCTTTTTCAAGTGCAACCCTCCATCTTCTGTTTCCTGAGGCATTTAATTTGCTGTGTTATTTACCTGGTATATCAAAAGAGTTGGTACTTGTGGGCTCAGACTGCTTGCTGGGTATCAATTCTAACCTTATTTATAAAATTTATCTGTATTGTGTCTCTGTTCTGTGTGACAGGGTGCCAAAGCATGTTTCCTCAGAGACATTCCCTTTTCTGCAATCTACTTTCCTGTTTATGCTCACAGTAAACTGATGCTTGCTGATGAAAATGGCCATGTGGGAGGACTTAATCTCCTTACAGCTGGAGCCATTGCAGGTAATTTTGCAGAATGTTTTCCAGAAGTACCTTTTTTTTTTCTTTTAGTGAGTAATGTTTAATATTCATTCAGTAGCCCCATATAAAGGAAGGGTACTGTACCATTGTATCTGATTTAATCTAAATTTGATCACTGTTATCCTTAGTGGGAGGCGATGCAATTTTGATGAGAGCTAATTACATTTGCATAATGTGGATAAACAGCGTAATGCAGCTCAGCAACTTGTAGTCAAATCTGATCTGTCTGTCTCAATGGGGTTTTACTTGTTACTGTGCTCTCAGAGTTGAAGACTAATTTGAATCTTTGATGAACATAAAATGAAAGATCCTAAGAGCTAGAAAGAAAATGACTTACCGAGTTTTAGAGTCCTGGATAACTGAGAAGAAACTTTGTTCAAATGTAATTGCTAAAACTAGGACATTAATTTGTCAAGAAGCTGAAGTTAAAGTATCATAATCTGAAGTTAAAGTATCATAATCTGAAATTTAAAATATTTTAAGGCTTCTTTTCAAAAATCTTTAGTATAAAGAGAACAGGCAGCTGTGATAAAAAGGTGGTTTTACTAAATGGCAAGTGATTTAAAAATATTAGGTGTAGGAACTGCAGTGGTGGATATATAAAAATGTGGATAGAGGTAGCTGGATTCTGCATTGCCTGGGATTAGGTCACTAGGATGAAAACCAGGCATCTGCAGCCTCTCAATCGCAAATGATTCAGTGTTGGAATCTGTGCAGTTCAGAAACATCACTGGGTTGAACAGACCTTCTGTTACTTGTTACAGTCATAAGGAATCACTGTATATACATCAGTCATGAGCTGTCTGTGTGTAAAGAGCGGTTTCCCACACTGGACTTGATACAGAGCTTGGCTGCACCTGCTCTTTGCCAGTTGGTGTGCTCCTTGTGCCAGAGGGAAGGGAGAGACCGGCTAGGAAACTAGTCACAGATCTGTAGCCCTGTTTATTTTCAAGCAACTGAGAGTTACCAGAAACAGAAAATTATTTAGCTTACTGTATTCCTAGAAGCATATATAAATGTTATTATTTAACTTGTATCTCGTATCAATGTTTTTAATTTTAGATTACAGACTTCACAGCTTCTCTTCGTTTGTTTGATTAGTGTTTCTGGGTCACACGTACTAAGTGATGAACCCTATTAAAAATGTGTGTAAATCTTGTAGGCCTAGTTTTATAGTGTATACAGGAACTTGCCTTTCTGAATTGCAAATTTCAAATTCCCAGTTGTTCCATCTAGTCCTGTAATGTGTGCGCAGCAGGAAAGAATAGTCTGAATGTATCTGCTGTAAAGGAAAATAGCATGTGGTTACTATTAGTGTATGCTTGTAGGCTTAATGACATTGCTTCTGTTTTCCTTTTAAACCTCCTGAATTGGCCTGTGACACTTCAGAGTTTATGATTACCTACGCAGATCAGTGATTTGTTAAAATTTGAGTTCAATTTTAACCAATTGTAAAAGTACAACACAAGTCAGAATCAATTGCAAAGTTCTAGTCAAAAGATGGCTCCTCTTTTTAAGAGAATTAAATTTGTACAGTATTCAGAAATACCTCAGATATCAGAGTTACATACTGTGGAGTACACTTCTGAAAACTTTCTCCTTTCCTCTGACTGGAAAGCTGAGAGTGGTGCCTTGGAAGCGGAGATTTGTTCTTCCATCAGGGTTGGCTAGTATCATGTAGTTGGTACTAAGCAGGCTTGTAAAATACCTTCATTGTCCTCGGTCTTTTTATGGCTTGCCTATTGAAGTAAGCAGCATTTGTTCTCCTACGAACAGCGCAAACAGCAGTACAGATGTATTTCTGCAGAATAGATGGTTTAAGTAGCAGCTTTCTTATTAATAGATGCATGTGTGTAGTATTCAATTTCCCAGATCAATCATCCACTTAATTTGCAAAACATGTTGTAGAGCTTTAAGAAATGCAATAAGGTTACGCAACTAATTTTTGTTATGGATATCTCTTATTACAGGTATAGCATGAGTGAACTTAAAAATGCCTCTCGTCTTTTTGAAACTGTTAATGACAGCCCACTAGAAGGTGTTGAGAGAATTGCTGTTGATTAATTATTGTTTTCTTTACTATCAGTTATAGCCTTTAAATTTAGAAGAAACAGAATGATTGTATCAAGCACAACAGTTTATATTGTCATCAAGTGTAAGAACTTGCATTTTTAGTAAAGCCTAGTTTTTTTGGAAAAAAAAAGTTAAAGTTTGTAGTTGCATTTTTCAGAAGTGTTTCCTCTCGCAAGCGTCTTTGTGCAAATTAAATGTGTTTTTCTTCTAAAAGGTGTGCCTGCTGCTTCTTTGGTAACCCCTGCTGATGTCATCAAGACAAGACTGCAAGTGGCAGCTCGCGCTGGTCAGACAACATACAGTGGAGTTATTGACTGCTTTCGAAAGATTCTACAGGAAGAAGGTGCTTTGGCTTTTTGGAAGGGAGCTGGAGGTGAGAAACATGCTCTGAATATTAGGGCTGACCCTGGATCTGCAAACTAACCGTTTGCTTTGTTAAGGACTCAAATTAGAGCAGTATTTGCAAGGTCTGATTCAGAAAAAATCTAATGGCTTGTTAAAAACGTTCAGCTTCTCTCCTGAGAAATTCTTTTGTTTGACACTGTGATTTGTAATATTTAACAGCTCGTGTGTTCAGATCTTCGCCCCAGTTTGGTGTTACTTTGGTCACTTATGAACTTCTGCAGAGATGGCTTTATGTCGATTTTGGAGGCCTGTAAGTCAGATATTTGCTTTTTAGTTTGTACAAGAAAGCTGCGAACTTAAGAAGAATCTTACTCTTTTCCCCATGCAAGGGACCACTTAAACTTGGTGCCTTTAAGTACTTAAAGTTGCAGTATGCAAGAAATCCCCCCATCCTTATGAAATTGAGAGATAATTGCATGCTACTTCTAAACAGATGAGATGAAAACCCATCTCATTTTAATACATTAATTTGTATTTCCATTGTAGCAAAATATTTTGTCCATTTATCCCCATGTCAGTGGAAGTTAACAAAATTTAACAAAGCTATTGGTAAAAATGTAACTTAAGTTTTGGCCTTGATTTCCCTTGAAGCTGTGGTCTGAACTCAACTTTACTTGACGTAGAAGTGAATTAATTAAGGTCAGCTTTAACAGCCTTCCATACTCAAACAAAAGCCTAAAGTATTTAGTCTAGATTTTATAGAGTTACCCAGGCTTAAGAAAACGCTTTAAATAAAGGAAAGGCTTTTTTTCTTCTTCTTTGTTCAAACAGCAAACCTTCTGGATCAGAACCCACCCCCAAAACTCGAATTTCAGATCTTCCTCCTGTTAACCCTGAGCACATAGGTGGATACAGACTTGCTACAGCTACATTTGCTGGAATAGAAAACAAATTTGGGTTGTACCTTCCAAAATTTCGATCTCCTGCAGTCAGCCCAGCTCAACCAAGTAGCAGCTGAATCCTGGAACCTAACAAGTGATGCAGTGGAAAAAATTCACCAGTCAGCTGCATGTTGCTCTAGCTGAACTGAGCTTGCAAATCTAATTACTCCTTTCTGATATTGATACATACCTGCATTTATTTATTTGCACACAAGGAACTGATTGAAGCTGAGGTTCTATGCCTTATTTTAACCAGCGGCGTGAACCTGTAGCTTAGACTTTGCCTTGCACAGCTTGCATTTAATGTTACTGTACATATTGTACATCTTTGTACAGAGACATCATGGCATCTATATCAATACCCATTTATACGAGTAATGCAGTTCAAAATAGTTTGAAATGTACAGAATGTTTTGAAGGCATTTTGTTAACAATCGTGACAATAAACTACTTAAAACCACTTCAGTCAGTTCACTGCTTTGTGTTTACAAAAAAGGTGTCCAATTGATTGCGTTATTTTTTTCCTCTCCAGATTACGGATCACATATTAAAATGTAAAGATTAGATGCACCCATTTAATGAATGTACAGCACAGGACATAGCCTCTGAAGGAACACATTTCACTGCTTATTACAGCAAAGGTATTAAAAGGCAATGTGCTGGCTTGTTAAGTGCAAGAGAAGACAGTAGTTAGATGAGCACATACAGTATTTTATTTTGCAGCAGTGCTTTGTTAACAAGGAATTCTCTCAAAATACAAGGTAATACTAGATGTGTAATAGATCCTACCCCTATGGTAGCATATTTAAAACACACTATTTGCCAGTTATTAGCAGCCTCAATAATTTTTTTTCAGGATTTACTGGGTGATTTTTCCCAAATTGAAAACTTTTTATTAAAAAAGTTGAAGGCATTCTCTTTATTTCTAGATTGTTTTACCATTGAAAGATTAGGTTATTCTGGGAAACAGACAGGCTTTAATAGTCATCTAATATACAAAACTGATTGTTTACAGTTCCAGTTGAGTAGAAAGGAGAGAAGAAACAAAAAGCTTGAACTGTTTCTGGCTTAATGTCTGCCAAAAGTTTATATGGTGTAGTTTTCAAATGCAAAGGTGTCACAGGAAATAGGGGAGTCTGGGTTTCTACAGCCAGAGGAAAAGCAGTTAATAGTACACCTACTGGCAGAGAAGAGAGAGGGGGGTTGCCAACCTTGCTTACTGAAGTATGACAACCTCCCATCTTTAGTTCTACATGTTTCTTTCGGGGTCAAACATCCTGCAGTACAGTGTGTCCCGGCGGTATGAACTGACCTGAGGTTGTTATTTTCTTGCTGAGGTGACAGCAGGCCAACATGAAGAGCTTTAATCGGCTTATGAAGAAAGGCCTCCTTAAAAAATGAACACTGCAAGTACAGACAAGCCCTCCTTCAGTTCTAGCCTCTAAGCAAGACACAAATTTGGTGCTATTTAGTGAGCTAGAGGTTACAGTATGTTAAACTTGGGAGTTTGATCACTAGTCTGCATCATGCATACATATGTACAAATATGTATGTGTGTGTATTTATATGTATAACACCATTAGAAGGCTTCCTGTCCTTATTTGGATTTATTTTTTCCGGTTCAGGTTAAAGAATTACCTGTTCTGTGCCGTTTTCTAGACACAGACAGGCTTCCCAGGAACTCTCTCCTGTATCTATGTTTTATTCTGCACTTTTCTAAGTTGGATACAAAAATGGCAGGTACCCACCACTGGCCTTTCATCTTAGTCACAGCTTGTTGACTGACTTCATAGAGGCCTTAGGAGACTTTACAATGCAAGACAGCATTTGTATTTCTTATAGCTCCAAAACTGGACAGTGTGGCTCCCAGGATAATCATTGACAGTACCTAACATCACTGTTGGTCTCCGTGTTGCAGGTGTGGGCTTTACAACGTTTTTAACCTGTACTCAACTATTTTGTGAGGGGGGAACACAAGCAGGAATGAATACAGATTGGTACTGGAATGTAATAACTGAATATTACCAAAAGGTCAAAATTATGGAAAACTGATGCCATATGACCTATATCTTTATGCCACAATCCACGGGAAAAAAACCTTACCTACTGGATTTCTGGTAACAAACTCTGAAAGAAATGTATTTATTAATAAACGAGAAGTAACAATTTAAGTAAAAATAAAAAACCTACCCACAGCTAAGAAACCCCAACCAACTGTCCAAAACAGCAAGACAAGAATTCCTGCGCCTCAAGGGTAAAAATCATCACACGGTGGTACCTGTTCACATGTTTCTCAACTGAATAGATAGCTGCTGTCATAAGGTTGATATTTACCTTGTACGTTTCCCTCAAAGTGAACGACATGACTTTTTACTGAAGGGGGACTTTTGACAAGTCAACACCAGTGGAAGCCTAAATCTGTTTCACTTTCAAGCTCAGTGAAAAAGAACCTCCTGAAACAGAACTGCTATTATTGCTGCCTGTGTCTCTGTGAGCTGCTCACAACAGAACTGAGACAAGGAGAAGCATTAAAAGAAAACCAAACCAAACCCTAACCCCAAAACCAAACTTAAAACACACTGTAGAAACAATAAGAATACTTCTGGACCAAAAGCTGATTATGGAATATAAACCTATTTCCTACTTTTAAGCATATAAAACAGCTCTTCTGGCAAAATAATAATCTTGTAGCAGATTAAGAATACCAGAACCAAACTTAAAGTCCTAAATTAAAGGCATCAATATTGATTTAGTGCCTAATTAGTACAAATCAGAATATTTACTTAACCACCTTCCCCCCCTGACCCCCCCCAACCCAACCAAAAAAGCCCCAAACCAAAACCACCAACCTAAAAAAAACCCAACCAAATAATATAATGATGTCCCCCATGAACCATAACCCCAAAACTGATCTTGATGGGAAACTTTATATATATGAGAAAGACGTACTCAAAAAAAATTAATCTAAAAAAAATTGCAACCATTTTGTTTCAAGCCATTGAGAAGTTTTGTTTCAATAAAACTGTTAAAATCAATGCAGATGTCTTTATTATACTTAATGTGGAAAATCAGTAGCCAGTCTGTAGTTAACAGAATGCTAACCATGCTATAGAAATTAAGTCAAAATCTAGTTCCTTATCGTATGGAAAAGACTGACAACAGCAGCCTTTTTCCTTTTGTCTGATTGCCAGGGTGGGAAGTGGAGGTTGGGGGTAGAAAACAGCTCTGCAGCATGTAGTAAAATGAAAGTGGCAGCTCCCAGAAACTTCCTACTCTCAAACTACTGAAGGGTCACAGATGAGGGGTCAGGGCAGCTGACAAGTGCTCATACAATATTTATTCATGAATCAGTCTCACCTTTTAATGCACCAATTCAAACAAAAGAACTGGGTATTAAATATGTATTTCATTAATTCAGGTCTAATTATCAAGTTTGGAACTACAGACAGTTTTTTATTACCATATATTACCCACTACCTTATCCATATATAAACAATGAAACTTACTTGGAACATATGCATGCTTATTATCATGGGTAATTCAAATTAAAGAATGCTTCAGAGATTAACTACCTAATGAAGGCTAGTCTTTGTAATATGGAAAGTTTAGCTTAGAAACAGAACTTTCACTTTTCATACGTACTGTTACAAAGTGGAAATTTCAGAAGCCCAATAGCAATTTTACACCAGGTTAGTGTTTCAGCAAAAGAAGGTCCTTGCAAAGTCAAGGTTAACTGTATTAAAAGTTACACAAATCCAAGCATGTGCTTGTAATTTATATATAAAAAGTGACAATCTGATTTTCAGTAATCTCAATACATTTTCAAAGTCCATAGTTGAATCCATATATCCCTCCCGTAAGCTATTACTTGAACTGACACGTGCACTTTGCATCAAATCATTCACCATTCTACCACTGCTGCCTATTGTTACAGATCTACGCCGGTATGCGGGTTGCAGCTTCCTCTTCTGCATCAGCTCTGTTAGCATTTATTTCTGCCAGGGTTCGACCAAACCGAGTCCACTCATCACTGCGAGGAACGGCAATTTGCTGTTGACAAAGAGAATGTTATTTGAGCCTACTGATAAACAAGAAGTGAGCTCATTTGGAACAGCAGAGCGCTTAAGTAACATTCAGAAGAGGTTCCACTAGAAAAGCTTATTTTTATGTAGTGTAACTTTTGAAATAGTCTGAACACCAAAAGCTCTAACTAATAAAGGAAGCTGAATTTCAGAATCCTCTATTTAAGTAAGTATGTAACGATACTCTTACAAGCTTGCATGATCAGTCTCCATCCAAGATGGATGGGATGCCTCAAAAGGGGAATACTAATGCCACATCCTCATCCAATCAATTAGTTACATACTACTGCAATACACAGACTTGCAATAGCAACAGCTTCCCTGTAGGAACAAGGTCAGGACTGCTTCACTGTAAAATGCTTTTGCTCTGCATTTCTCAAGCTGTGGTCAGAATTCACATGTCCCAGTTACAAAGAAGATTCTTCCGTCTTATTTCACTAGCCTCAGAATAATACTTTTACTTTCTCAGCGGCTGCCAGATAGCATGCTAAAAAGTTATCCTACTATTTCTGGAATAGACCCCAAAAGTGAACATTAACTTGAAAATAAAAATTATACCCTATACTCCTAATCACAGGGGGGGGAAATTAAAAGCAAGTTGCTAAATAAAAGTCAAAGAAACTCAAGTGTTTTGCAATGTAGGTTGCACAATACAGGGTATACATACCTCTCCCACGTCATATATAACTATTTGTCCCTCTGAATCACCAACAGCAATCTCTCTCCCAGAATGTGTCCATCTCACGCGGTTCAGCGCAGGGTTACCCTCCACAGTAATGCTTGCAGTTGGCACCTGTATCCATTTAAAACACATGGATAAAAATGCATGAGGATTCCATAAGCTACAGGTTATAGAACACTTCTAGGCCCTCAGTGTTGTATCAAAGGAAGTGCCCAACATTTCCGCTGACACAGAATATGCAGATCTCATACTCTCAGTGGCCCTAAGCTGTCACCAGTGACATGACCAAAACAAGACATCTTTTGTCCCTTGGCCAATGTACAGGCATCCTCTACCAGAATGCACATCTGCACTGCACTCTTGTCATGAGACATGAGGCGCTGACAGGCATTCAAACAGACAGCAAGGAGGAGCCCTGCAATCTCAAGAAAGATTATGACAGAGGGCAGAGATGAAGTCAGCTGCTTTGGCTATCCAAAGGCTAGAACCAGGTAACTCCTTTTTGAAGCCACAGGCTGGCACGGTGCTGCAGAATTGCTCTTCCTTCTAAATGCAGTTTGAAGAAGGTGAAATTTTAAGTACTCAATATCTGTCAGGTTCTTCCTCTTACCTACCTCCAAGGAGTTTAAGTCTCAGATGAGATTTATAGTATAATTAAGTTTGTAACTCACACCAGAAAACTGAATATTCACTTCTCTTAAGTTTACCAACAAATTGTAATTTCATTGCAGTATTATTATAGCAAAGGTAATATGACAATTGGAACAGCAGCGTGGGGGTAAGAGGTTTGCTGACACTGTCCAGCTATAGGCTGCCAAGGCCATACCTGTGGGAAGTCTATCAACGCTTTCATGGATGAGTGTTACACTGACAGATGCTTTGCACTCTTGTTACAGTTAAAACAATTTAGTTACCACTGTTACTCATTATGAGGAATCATTTGAGTAACAACCTGTAACCAAAGAATAATATCCATTACACACAAAGTACTGGAACTACAGACCACGTAAGGACAACAACAAAAAACCCCAAACCAAAACACTATGCTGAACTTCTGACATTTCTTCCTCCCCCAAGTATACGAACACTTTTCCAACTGCGTTTGACTGTTAACCTGACAGCCTCACCTCAGTATCATTGTTGAGATTCCACAGGTCAAGCCTGCCCATCCCATCCACACAGGCAAACAAGGCAGGGTGAGTTGGAGACCACATCACATCATAAACGTAATCTGAGTTGTCTTCAAAGGAGTAGAGGGGTTTGTTATTCTGAAAAAAGCAAAGGTAACAATGCAATACCCAAACTCTGCACTTCAAAATTACAAAGCTAATGGGTAAAGCAAAATACAGAACTTCAGCAGCACTATCAGCAATAACTACAGAGTGATTCACATTTTCACTTAATTTAAAAACATGCCTCTGCAAAAAAAGCATTTCGAAATTAATACTATTGTAACTACTATTGTTAAAGGGATGCTTTCCAAAGCATGCAGCCTTTTTGGTAGCTGCTACCATAAAAAAATCAGTAGCAAGCTAATATTGTAAGAGATTGTAAATTCAATGAATTAATAACGTTCTAAATCAAGCCAATGATAATTCAGTGACAGCACTTCAGATTATTACTGGGAGATTCCAACAGTGCTTCCTTTGCTTTGCATCCCCCAGGGCATCAAACTAACACAGAAAGAGGTAATTCTGGCTGTGGGAAAGACACACTTATCAGTTGTGAGCCTCCTGGAGTTTAACTGACATCAGGTTTTGGTGCTGCCCCTTAACCCTCCACAAAATTGTAGCAAAACATTTGCCTTGTGCATAATACAAAGTAACTTATTTTACAACATGATTTACATCTGATTACATTGTAATAATTAGTGAAACAAAGGGCAAGAGGGTGAACAGAATGGATCGCAAGTATACAAATGATGTACAATCTGAAAGCAAAGCTTTATGTTGTTAACTACAGTTAACAGCTGTCTCCTCTTTGCAGGCCTGCTGTTAGGAACCAAGAGAGCTTCACACAATTTGATTTCAGTTTACTGAAATTTCTTAAGTAGCTTACATTATAGCACCACCTTGTGTCAAGGACTATGGAGTAAACCACTGAACTATCCAAGTTACCTTGGTTGTCCAAAGCTTTACTGTCCAGTCAAAAGAAGAGGTGACAAAAAGATGTGAGAAGTCTACAGGTCCAACTGCTGCATGGCAGTTGATACCTGTGATTGGTCCCTGGTGTCCTTCAAACATCTCACTGATTCCAGCTTTGCTGTTTTAGAATATATAACCAAGGTTAATTTATCTGGAAATTGTACACTTGCAGACAGAGACAGCACTGAAATGCAAATTAAATACAGCCACAAGAAGATTTTGCCGCTTTCTATGAAGGTTACCCCATGGCAAAAGGCTTCACCACCACAGGATCACAGAAGACCAGGCCTGAATACAGACCTTAACTTCAGTATCTATTTTCTGCTAACCTTAAGTGCCAAAATGTACCATAGGGAGAAGAGATTCATTCAGCAGGTACCAGTCCACACACTTAACCACATTATTCTCCAAGCAATAGCTAAAACTTTAATTCCTGCAAAGAACAAAATCCAGCCCTCAGGAATGAGCATAGAACTCCCACGGGGTGAAGGGAAGTTCCGTGTATTCTCATGGACACAGAGTTTGGATATAAACCAGTAACAATATATCCTTAATAGCCTCCTATCAGAAGCGATGAGAAAGAAGGGGGGGGTGGAGCAGATGGGAAGGATGTTACGCCAAAGCGATACAATTTGGGGTATTTTGGAGTCAAAACACTGTGCGGCAAGGGTGATGTGTATCTGAGATGAAACCTGGACACTCAATTATATTTAAGAAAGCAATTGATAAGATACAGTCAGACAATTTCAAAATAGATTTGACCAGCAGGAGAAAAGCTGGCCAATTTAAGATTTGTGCGTGATGTTACTGTACAATTAGCTACAGAACCGATACGAAGTTCGGAATGTTCTGCTACAATTCAGATGAATAAAACTGCAGTGACCTACAGTGCTCTCATCATCACAAACAACTCCTAGACACTGAAGGCAGCACAGTATCAATTCAATATTCCAACTTCTTCTGGTTTTAATAAAGCTCTCACTCAGGAAACAGTGTGCACTGGAAATCATATACAGCTATTTTGAACTCCTTCAAGATAAAGGAGTAAATACACACTGTAAATGATTTTAGGAGTGTGCAGAGCATGCAGGGACTCATCCTTTCACTATATTTATTTCCTTTGAACAATTAAAGTCTGTATTCACCTGCCATGACGACACGCAGTGTACACAGAGCCTTCTTCACTGCCAACAACAAAGTTGTTGACATCTCCAATAGGGAATGACATGCATGTAACAGCCACAGCCTTGGACTGTTTGTGAACCAGCTCCATGCTATCCTGTAGAGAAAATTTCAGCAACTAGCTTAAAAAAAACCCACAACATTTCCACAGGTAGGGAAATACTTTATCACATACTTCTTGAGCTATCAAGTATAGTTCCGTGTGTTAGGAAAATGTTTATTAATGTTTTTTCAATTCATTAAAGTTGTACAAAATATTAATCTGGAATAGATACTATATATATATATATATATATATATATCTCCAAAGTTATCTTACCTGGGGTTGAGAAAGCATGTCTAGACTCCAAGAGCATATTTTTCCATCAGTTGAGATACTAATCAAATTATGAGCATTCTGCGTCCCAACAACATTTACACAGTACACTGGGTGCTAAAAAATGTAAAATATTATCAGAAAAAAGAATGTCCAAGTAGCAACCAATTCTGGTGTAATATAAACAGCAAAACATATAACTTCACCATTTAACAAAGCATAAAAAGACTGACTGCAGTATAGCACAAAGAATACTCCCCTATAAAATTAATACTTGTTTTTCTGACACTTTGCTTTTTACGAGCAGCCCAGATCTTCAGTGATAGCATGGGCAAAATACAGACATAAACATGTAAGCATTATCAATCAAGGGCACTGGACAGAGTTTCCTAGAGGTTAACTACATCTCAACAGGGAACAGCCCTTGAAGATATTTCACCCCCTACCGTGTGAGCAGCAGCTGAAAGTGGAGTTCTCTGCACTGGGGTTCTCTTATTGCTGCGATTATCCCACAGCACTATTTGGCCTGAGTATGTGCCACCAACCACCAGATTGGGATGAAATTTTGCAAAGGTAGCTGACATCACCGCTGACTGAAAGGAAAAGAAATCAAACAACAAAATACATAAAATACACAAAAACCCCTTCCCCTTTAACAACACCATGCCTAAATCTAAAGAAAGCGGGACCAAACAGCAGAGTAAGTAATTTGCTTAGATTTATTTGATACACTATTTCGCTGTCCAGTTAAGGATTCACAAGCACTTTGCGAACTCTCAACAGTCTTTTTAATTTGTATTTATAAAATGACATTTTCCTTCTCTGTTTCTTTCACATGTCTATATTTGTATTCCTCCTGGTACAGTTTGTTAGCAAGGGAAGGCCCAGTAACCGCAAGACTTTAATGACATTTTGCCACATTCTGGGGTCATTTTCTTAGAGAATGTACAAATCCATTTCGATACAATAAAGTTACTTTTTCAACCTGGGCTCTGACAGTAATCTGACAACACAAGATTAAATTTTGATTCAACTATGTAATTTTCCAGAATTATGGCATTTTGAAAATAAATTGGCTATTCCAGGCTTGGCATAATGGAAGAGATTTGCATGTTTTTACCTTTCAGAAAACTACCAGAAAACCTCCCTTTGCCTGTTTCTCGATTCATATGTTTCTAGTTTTCATCCTTGCTCCATCTCTTCAGGCCATCTTCATTTCATTTCATCCAGTAAACTAAGCTCTAGTAGTATACAATCCCACTCAATCTCCTTAAATACAAACCTTCTCTGTGGTTCAACCATTACACAAGAAGGTTTCTTGTTTTTTAAATAAATTGAGAAAAAGAGTTCTCAAACCAGACTGAATTCTGAATGATGTCAGAAATTCTGAAACAGAATAATGTTAGAAATCTCTAGCTATCAACATCTGTTTGCAAATACATGTGGTTAAAGTGAATGCCAGCCCAATGAAATCATTATGTTGAAAAGCATAAAGAAGGTACTTGTCTAAGTTCATCAACATAAAATCTTTAGCCTCCTAAGACAGAATCATACCTGACAGTGAAAGACATACTCTGGGGTAGTTTTCTTGTACTTCATGTTCCATACAAGGGCCACCCCATCAGGCTCATGAGGTGCATCCTCATTGTTGTTGTAAGAGGCTACAAGTAATTCTGGGTACTGTGCAAGTTAAAAAGGAAAAAATCTCAAAGTAAAAAGATGACCAGCTAATAGTTCAGACAATCCTAGAACCTTTGTTTTCTTTTGCCAAAATAACGTTAAAAAACCCCATCAAAACCCCAAATCCACCTTATATATGAATGAGAAACTGCCAGTTAAAACTGTAATTGTTTCAAATTCAGCTCATTAAAAAAAAAAAAGTATTAACATACACATTAGGGTCTTGTTCTGTCTTTCATCATAACTTGCTTTTAAAGGTAAAAGACAGAACTTTAAAGTGAGCATTTTTTAGTGAGGCAACAGTTACCTCTATGAAGTAGTCCATAAACCAGAAACAAACATGCCAAAGACTTTCTTCATAATACAAGCCTTTAGCTACTTTTCACAAAAGATTAACAGATCTGTTTACTTTTTGCAAATTACAGAGCCTGTAAGGAACATATCCAAAAACACAGCCTGTATCAGCTGCACCTACCGATGGGGCAAGTTCACAGAACTAGAACAACTTACCAAGGTAACTGTTTAACTTACCTGAGATGACCAGTCCAAACAACTGACAACACGATGCTTTGACCAACGTTCATCAAAAAACTGCCTATTTAAGGACAGTTTTGCTCCAGCTTGAATCTCTCTATAAAGGCAATTAGCAGATACTCATCTTAGATCACTTTCTCAATTACAAATATTGGACATTCACAGCAAAGCATTCAACATTCACATTACCCTTCCTTGTCTTCTAAGTCTCTCCCACTGTAGTCAAAGAAGATGTTGATTTGCTCAGACAGGGCTCTCTCGACAATCCTTGTAGAGTGGTCAAAGAAACTTAGAAATTCCTCAGAATGCAAAATTTGTTGTTTTTCCTCTTCTGTAAGTTCATGAGGGGCAGCTGGAAAAGAATTAGGCATTCTCCAGACTGTGCGCTTTCAGCAGTTCTTTCCAAGAAAGAGAAAGCCATAACAAGAGTATTTATCATGATGTTGGGAAATTTGTTCCCTAAACTCCATAATTTGAAATACATTTTTACATTTTATATCTTGCTAGCTGATCGTTAAAACCTAAATCAAATTAATTTCAACTTAATGGGAAAAGAAGTAAAACCCTTATTGATGCGTTTCTCTACGGCACACTCAGGATGTCTTGAGGCAAACTGTACCTTCTTCTTCCTCCTCTTTTTTTAAGGTTTTTTCTTCCTCAGGTTCAACTAATGGTTTTGGTGCAACCACATCGTCTTCATCTTCTTCATCTAAGGAGAAACATTATGGTGAGACTGTCAATGTCTTTAAAGAGGAACAGTAACATTCCAGATGAAACTCAAACTGATGTAAAATAGTATCACTTAGCTTAAAATGGTTATATTTGTAAAATGTAGTCCGCAGGATAACATTATCTCAAACCAAAAGATCATCGGAATGATGTCGACACGTGGGTTTTAGTTGCACTAAATTATGTAGTTGTATAAACTGAAATAAGACACATAAGAAATTGTAACGAATCCAAAGTGGAAATCTCTCTTACAGCATTTACGATTCCATACAAAACCATGTGGTGGATGCATGTTCTGTGTAACATACTGACACATTAATGCTGCAGAATAAAGAAAAATCAAATGTCTAAAATAGACTACAGAGCAGCTGCTTACTTTTGATCTGAAACCATCAGAGTCTAATGGGTCTTCACATGGCATGAAGATAGCTTACATTAGCTTTCAGGTTGCTATTCTGAGAGGCAAATTTTGCTAAAGATAATAGCAGGGAGATTATATTTTTTCTGTCATTCTAAATGCAAGTCTCATTATCTGTATCATGTTTGGCAATGAGAACTTTACAGTAAAATGTGTTTTCCCTAATTGCAATGAATAACATAAAATGTTAATGTTCAGGAATACTGACAAGGTTTACAGCACTTTCTGCATTTCTACATTTTATTCTTTGAGAACTGTAAACCAGGAAATAACTTTAAATTACTTAGTGTTGTGGAATATGCATTTCCTGGCTTTTCTTCACCCACTTTCTAGGGCAAGCTTCTGAAAAGACTATTTTTATTGGTTAAACAGCTATGTCATCTGTTTATAAGGGAATGGCAGCAGGAGTCTGCTGCATGCCTGATCACTAGTAATGAGACAGTATTCAACAGGGACTAGGCCTGTTTGTTACAGCCATCCCCCTGACCCACGTTCAAAGTTATCTAATAAAAAAAAAAAAGGAAAATAAAAAAATTAAACAAATCCACATGCACACACACAAAAAAGGGAAAAAAGGAAAAAGGGGTGGTCAAAGGATGGGAACCAGCTGCCAAGCCATGGTCCCAGCAGCCAGGCCAGCTGACTAGATAGCAACAACCAGATGGCACTGCTAGGATTATGCCTCTGCTATGAGGTGGCAATGGGATGGCACAACATTTTTCTGCCTGACTGCTTCCAATCATGTCTTTCCCCATTGGCAAGCCTGCGCAATTACCAGCACTCCAGGAGGTCTACAGACAAGCCTTTACCCTGCAAACAAAATACAGCTTGTAGGCCATACCAGCTGCCAAACCACACACACAGTGATAGGTTTAAAGAGGTCTGAAAATCTTTCTAACTCCATAGTATAGGCAATAAAAATATAACTGTACCTGCAGGAAAGAAAGCTTTAAATGACACCGTATAATGCACACAATAATACAAACTCCAACTTAATCAAAATGATAATGACGTATGCCAATCCTACATTACTTGAAATTGAGCGATTTTTACGTTCTGACAAGTTTACAGAACTAGGATAAATGGCATGAATGATTTCAATATATGCTCATACTTTTGAACCAAATGGTGAAGGTTAAAATCTTTCCTTTCAAGGGCCTCAATCAGCCACAAAGGAAAACAGTAATCACTGTCTTTTCAGCCAGCCCAACTGCATTTGTCAGCCCTTTCTCCGTCAATGCAGCCAGAGCAATCAACCTGCCAAACATTCAGAATGGAAAAACAATCTGAAAATACAGGGTATAATGCACCTGCCAGTGAAAATGGCCATTTCAAGAAAAGCTAGTGATCTCAGTGACCCTGCTGAGGAGGCGGTGGTGCAAAGGGGAAAGAACGCGTAAAAGAATTCTTAGTGATCTCCACTCTCTTGCACATTGACACTTCCTTACAAAGCATGCCAATTACAGCTTTTGCGCTACTTAAAAAAAATGAAAGCTTTTTTGGGCAAAATAATCACACGGGGAAAGACACTGCTCCTTTTTAGATGGGATTCTCATGTACAGTGGAGTGTAATCTGAAAACTGTATAACTTATAGCAATGCTAAAGAATGGAATTCTTAATGACAAATCACTATAGGTGTGGACACCAATTAATTAAAAAAAGTAATACGAGTTAACACATTTTGAGAACAACAAATGTAGCACCACATATCCACATTATGGCTATTTGGATAAAAATCCCCCTCGTTTGCCCTGCCAATCAATCCTGCAGATTGAAACTATGCCTTCAAATCCAGAAATTCGGTTTTGGGTCACCCTGGGCACATTATTCTAGCTTTGAAAGTCCCAAACTAGAAATTTCAGCCCAACTTCCCATTAGTCATACTACACTGATTCTAAGTACCATTTTCAGTGACAGGAGTCAAATTCTTGTCAAATGCAGATGGTCAACCCCTTAGTGCTAAGTGACCTTCTAATCTACATATTTTATTCAAAAGATCATATAGTTGATTGCTCCTGCCTTTTAATGTTGAAACATAAATGGCATATATTATAGAGCTCTAAATTCCTTTATAGTACTTTCGCTGCACACAGCCAGCTGATATTACTGCATTTAAATGCAGGATACAGCACTTACTTTAATATTCTCAAAGTATCAGGCTTGAAATCGAAACATGTCATCTTACAGATTTATCTGTAACTACATAAATCTAAAAACCTTCTCTCTGAAGAGAAGTCACATGCAAACTTTCTCATTAAGGGATCTGGGGGAAAAAAAAAAAACCCAACACCACAATGAAAAAACAAATAAAATGCAGGATAAAACAAAAACCCCACATGTACAAGTTCTTGACCTCACTATCCAAAACTAGGATGTTTTCTCACAGAAGTTTACAATGAAAAAAGGCTGCACAAAGCTGCTGGACAACAAAAGAGGTAAGAATTTTCTGTTTTAATTACTTCCCTTGTCTTCCCTTTACCTTGCATGTATTTAATAACAGGTCAGGTGCTAGTATGTGCAAGGAATCGGTATAACAATAATATATTACCCAGCAAACACTGAAGGATTGGACATACTATTTCTGAAAAAGTTCCACGAGTAAGTCAAGAACACATGATTCAGTGGTGTACTGCATTTGTTTCAAGTCAGCACGTGGAAACCTTAAAGGTTCATCCTCTTTACTCATTATTAATGGTACCTACTGGAATTTTATCACACTTCATTCATGAGTATACCAAATACAATTCCACAATTCAAAAAAAGGTTATAAGATTTAGAAATAAGTCATAGTAGGGCCATGAAGACAGGAAATAGGACTCCATGTCACATCAACATAAGGATGAATATTCATTATAATATACTAAGGGATTAACTCCATGATATTTCTGACAGGTGAACAGGGGATCTAAGGTTACAAACAGAGCAGTAAAGACTGCATAAAAATAGCAGCTACTTTAATAGCTCCACATTTCTTGTCAATGAATACTAAAAACCAGTTTAATGAACCACTGAATTTTTATTTCAAGTTAACATCAAAATTGTGATGTATTTTGGCAAGACAGAAGGAAAAGCAGTGCTGTAAATTAGGCTGCACCAAGCAATAACACTATGGAGTGAAGTTCCAGTTGTCTGAGTAATCTGTTGCTGCAGAGTAGGTTAATCAAAGTTAAATCATCTGTGAAATGGCTGGCTTTTGTTAAGCCGAATGTCTTCATATCAAGTTTTCCCATCTATATTTCACTGCACATTTTAAGGCATGTACAGGATAATGCATGAATATATAAGAGTCTGCTATTTCTTTTTAAAATATTAAACTCTAAAAATGCTGCATTCACTGTAACAGCATCCAAGAAGCCAATCCTATGCAGCACATTGTTATTACTCTAGGTCAGAATTAAAAGGACAAAAGCACTTAATATTTTCATTCTGCATCTTGTAGACAATAATTCCTCAAAGAGTGAAGCTAATGCAATAATACTATCTGCAGTTAGCTGTGATCACACAAACACAATATTGCAAAGCAGGACTAAATAACAAGTATCCTGTTAGCCCAGGAAAAGCTCTAATTGTGACAGCTGAGCAGAGTCATATTCCCCTATATGCCTACTTTTCTTTAGGTCAACTACAACAAGAACTCATAACACATCCTTATTTGCCATACTGGCAACTAATTTCTTTCCATATGAATCTGAACAATATGTTAGCAAATCACAAAGGAAAAGATCAAAGAGTATAGGAGAAACAGTGTAGCAAGAACTGTAGAGAAAAAAGATTTATCACCAGTGATGACAGTACTCTGTGTGGTGGCCAACATGGAGCCTGCAGAACATTGAGACATATACCAGAGTTCACATCTGAATTGTGTCTCTGTTGCTGAAACTGCTCCTGCTGCCTGCTAGAAAGAAATGAGTGTATGAAGGGAACACAATTTCAAATGTATTTTCAGAGCAGACCTGAAAATCCGCTGCCTGATAGAGAACGCCAAATAGAGGCCAAATAACAGCCCTAATAACCAGCTGACCCACACTAACTAAAACAACATGTTCACCAAAATTGGACAATGAGGCAAGTAAGCAGCGGTGTTATATACAGCATCACGGAAAGTGAGAAATGGATTCAGAGAGTAGAAAAGGGGATGGCAAAACAAGGATGCTGGGGAATGGGGCAACTTAAACACAGGATGTTCATGTTATGATGGTGACAAAAGTTAAAGTGTATTAATGGCACAGAGACATAGATGTTTAGGCTTATTAGTTAAGAAGTAAGGGGGAACAGCACCAAGTATAGCACAACACACAACACATTTATCAACCCAAAATGAAGTTATTTGATCCCTATACAAAAAAAAAGATGACAATAGTTAAACCTACTTTGCTATATCCCTCTGAATGACGAACTATTTCATGATTTTTTTTTCCCCCCATAATAAATACAGCTGCTACAGAAGCAGGGGAATTGGAAGACTGAGGCTGGTCAAAATTCTAGAGAAACAAAAAAAACCCACAAAAGTGTGAAAGAAAAGAAAGAGTACTGAGGACAGACATGCATCAGTATTTTCATCAAAGCAAGAAATTTGCGAGCACCAAGACTGCTACCCCAGCACTATTTCTTATTATGGCTCTCCTTGGACACCTGTATATATGGGACCTTGAGGAAAGGGCAGCTGTGGGTTACACCAACCATACAAAAAGCCCATAAAACAAGTATTGCAGATTTACCTTCTAAGTCTACTTTGGTTGTGGGCATCTTCCTCCAAGAACTGTGAAACATGTTTATTAACTTCAATTGAGCAACACAATTCAACCTACAGCACAACCTATAGAATAACTGTACACCATACCTAATAAAACTGCTTCCGTTTTCCTTTGTTCAAAAGCACTTCTCCAACAGCATTTTAAAATCTCAAGATATGATAATCAAGAAAGGTCCAGTCTGTTTTACAAGAAAGAGTGAACACTGAATCTAACCTAGCTGAGATGCAACTTGTTGCCATACAAGGGAGCTACTGAATATTAACTGTATGTGTAAATTCAGTTGCAAGTTCAACTTTCAAGTGTACTTTGTAAGATTTTATCTAGTTTACAGCATACTCACTAAAACAAACAAAAATCAACTTAAAATTGTGAAGAAAAAATAACAATGAGATGGAATATTTCCAATTTAAATGTATCTAACTGCACTCTGAAAAGTCAGCATATTGCTTTTGTCAATCGTTTTAAAGACTTCAAAATTTGCTTCCCAAAATCAAAATATGTGACTTTATTTTTTTTTTTTTTTAGGCAGGATGAATCTTTTCCCAAAGAAAACCTGTGTCCCTGTTCAGATGTCATCATAAATTGTGAACATAGAGATTAATTATGAATGGATTTAGGCAGTTTTAAGACAGACCTTAAGAAGAATCTTGACACTGAAATGATGAAAAAGCATCTCTAAGTGACTTTTGTGAAGTACACATACATAAAATTATGATGGCCCTCAAGAAAATAGTATTATTTTTAAGGTGGAATGGATTAGAAGACACCATCTGCATTGAGAGAGCTTTCTGGTCAATACAGAAATGCAGATGACCCATCTTTCCCACTCAACTCCCAAGAAACCTCAACTACAGCCTATGTAAGGAGTATGAAACTAAGATCATACAATCCCAGGCAATTTCCACTGACAGCAGGCAGCAGCAGTAAAACCCTTTAAGCACATAAATTATGAACTAAGTCTTCAGATTCCATAGATAGAGGGGAGGAAAAAATCTTGAGGGAATAGAGAAAGGAAAAGGTAAGGGCATGGGAAAAATGAAAGCAGGAAAACCCCAAATGCCATCTGTGCATGGATACTGATAAAATGAAGAATGGAAAAGAAACAGAAAAAGAGTAGAACCTCTGTTATTCTGGCTCACTGAATAATGAAGTTTGAAACATCTGTTTTGTGCTCTGAAGACACACCGATCCCTTACACTGCATATCCAGAGGTAAAAGAGTGTTGTTCCAATTTACTTTCTTTTCCCTCCTCCCCCTTGCCCCCCAGCTATTTCACAGTGTCATTTGCATATTGTTAAACTCGCCAAAGTGACCTCCAGACACACCCCAGACAAGAGCAGCGTATTGATGTAGACTGGAGCAGCAACAACTCTGCACCACTTGTATTCCACTTTACACTCCCCATCACTTGCATTACACTTCCAAGTAAATTATACAGTTTTATGGAAAAAACTGTCTAAGATTTCAGCTGAGTATTCTCTTCATGTTTCAAAAAGTGCTTCTATCTCCTTGCAGAAACACCCAAAAGTTTACATACCAAAGAGTAAGAAAATGTAGAATTAGGCCCTAAAACGGCAAGCAAAGATATATATTCAAAGTCAGTCATATCAAATAACTAAGAGATTTTGTTGTAAAACTACATGAAAACTAGGTCAAGATTAGTATTGTTATTTGCATAAAAATTCAAGTGTTTCAACACTGAAACTAAATTTATTAGCTTTGGAAAAATTTCTTGCCTGAAAAGCAAGTCATGACTGAAAGAAAGCATGTGTTCAGCTGCTGAGAACAGAAATGGCTCAGGTTAATAAAGACATTAGTTGGGTCTTTTAAAACAGAATGTATAAGTTCCAGGTATAAAAATTCAAATTCTTAAAAAGTGTGTGGGGTTAACTGCTAAGTTACCTTCAAGTAATTCTTAGGGATGTCGTAACTGCAGGATATATCCCACTTATTTATTAGCTAATTAAGCAACTTTGTGTCTAATCTAAATGTCACTAGAAGCAAGAAAATACCATGTATTAGTAATAAAAGTAATGTTAAGATACAGAATGACAGTAACACTTCAGCAACACATATAAATAATGGAATTTATATCAATTGTCTATCAATTGCCTCACATATCAACCTCTCATTTACCTTCTTAAGCTTCAAAATCGCAAGTGCTGGTTCTGATTCTGTTATTATTATAATAAAAGAAAAATTAACTTAGTGATAAATTAGCCATTATGAATGTATTTAGGTAGTTTAAAAACAGACCTAAAGACAACCCTGACACTGAAATGATGGAAAAAACATCTGCAAGTGGCTTTTGTGAAGTGCACATACATAAAATGATGATGCTCCTCAAGAAAACAGTATTTACCCTCCTTTGGCTGAGTCATAACAGGTGTTTGTGTCTCCTTTGTATATGTAACAACTTCTCGAGGAGGAAAATCAACTTGTGTAATTTTGGCCATTCCAAGTTTAACAGGTCCACGTCTAAAAAAAAGTTAATACATAAATCAGAAAAAAACATTCAACATTTATGAATTAATTCACATTTTGTCTAAAAGAATACCCAAGTCACCATGTCACAGCACTGCTTAGCCAAAATCCAGTGGAAATTTAACTCTGAGGAAGTCACATAACTATGACTAATATTTTATTACCATTATTATTTAAAATGAGCAGCTATTTATAAATCTGCAACAAAAAGGAAGACCTGCATATATATAAATATCTGGATTTTAGGATATAATTTTAAAGTTTTGCTCTTTGTGGTTGACTAGGATACTGTTATATTTATGACATCCCTATTTTCACTGGAACAGATCTGCTCACAAGTCACATTTGTACAGAAACAGTACTAGGATTTTAAAACTTAAAAACCAGCTTGTGTATTCTGAAGGAAAAAGCTTTTTTTATAGTCCTTTTAACTTTGCTGCCCTTTTTTGTCTTCATCTAAGATACTATTTAAAATGCAGAGCTGCAAATCTGATCTGAGGCTCACACACTGACAAGTGATTTCTCTGTACGACATTACTTCAGAATAAGACACTGAAAATGTCTGAGCCTTCTGACTTTAGCTTATGGAAGATCCTACAAATGCAGATAACAGCTAGTATCAAGCTACAGTGCGCAATGTGCTTCCAAAACACACAATGACTGAATTTTTCGCACATTAATTCAGTCATTGTAGTTTCCTATAAAAGCTAATTTCAGTATGCACTGTAACAACACTGCAATGCTCCAACAACAATTTACCTATATCAAATTTAATTTCTTATCCACCCCTCTCCTTAGATAAAAGCAGATTTAAAAAAAAAAAAAAGAGTAACCCCTTTTGAAATGTTTTGGTGGGCAGAATCATAATTCTCACAGCACAAAACGGGCTTTAGTAAGTGCTTATAATATGCTTATAAAAGCTGCAGCACAAGAAAAAAAGGGAGCTACTCTATTTTTAAAATACAGTTATTCTAAGTTTTCTTATTTTAAAGAAATGACATCTTTAAGTTTATATTTTATCAAAGACTCAAGAAAAGCACAAATAAATATTGTTATCAGAAATATGTATCTTATGTATATTAAGTAATAGAAAAACTTTCCCACTGCATGCAAACTGCACTAAATCTAAGGATAGTGAATTTCTGTTATTACAGAACAGTCTTTTAACAACAACTTGAAGTCTTATATTAAAAAAAAAAAAAAAAAAAAAAAGCTCTTATCCATAAGTACATGAAAGAGGGAATATAAGAAATCTATGCAATACCCCAAATCGGAATCAGAGTGGAGCTGAAGAACTGACGGATCAGTATCCCAATGCAGCGTCCTGACACCCCAGGTTGAACAATCATGCAGCATTAGCAAAAAAGGCCAGAGATTAGTGAAGCAAATACACGCTATGAAATGCTAGAGTTACAGTAAGCTTATAGTTATTTCGTTGTTCACAAGAAACAAAGCAATGTAACATCAGTTAAGGGAAATTTGGCAAACATTCAGTGCAATAATACATGCAGTAAATACAAAAGTTAAAAAGCAAACGCAGATTTCAGAGCTATTAGAAAAGAAATCATTTTAAAAAGATTGAAAGTTAAAGACCTGCAAACAAATATGGCATTTATGAGAGGTAAATAAAAATATTTTTAATACTGACAAGAACCATCAAAAACTTTCTTTTAATTCCTTCTAAAATCTGTTCCGATTTGTTCATGTCATATGAAGACAGATTTGTTAACATACTGCAATCCTGCCCAGAGCAGTAAATACGTGGAGGAAACTGTCATATTGGTAAAGGAAATGAATCAACACATAAGCCTTGTGGTAGCAGGGCAAAAATATACTTCCACTGGGATAGAGAACTGCTAGAGTTTCCAAGATGTGACACTGCAGTAATTATGGGTTAAGCACTGCCTTGGGCTTGTAAGTGTCATCTGATTTAGAGCCAACTCCATTTAAGGTATTTGAATCACTTAGAAATAGTGGGCTTAGTATTAATAACATGTTTCAGAGTCATGTATAGTAACGAACAGATCCATTTCAAGTCACTTTTGATCAGAAGAAATACAAAGGAGGAAATAAATCTTCCCTCTCCCTTCATTGTTAGCCTTCATCCCTTCTCTATGCATTTTAATTTAGCCTACTGCCTGCTATCAGGCTTAGAGAGATTTTAAAAACAAGATCATATGAGACATTAACAGATGAACATATGGGTTTTCTGGTGTTCTTAAATGCTATTATATTTTTATAAGAAACATATCATATTTTACTATGATAAGTCAATAAAATGTAATTCTACATTTCATTCCCATGAATGGCAAAGCTCTTACAAACCAAGTTCAGAATTCCAAAGGTAAAGTTAATCTCAAAAGCATACAGGCAATGCCAGAGAAGCTCCTAAGTATGGGTGCATCATGCACTACCTTGTTCTTGTAAGACGTATGCATTAAAATAATTAGTTACAGTTTAATTAAGAATTACAAATCCATGTGCTTATATCTGGCAAATCATCCTACATAACTGCTACTGCATCTGCAGCCGTAACTTAGCAATAAATCTGTAAGACATTTCCATATCTTTTGTGCATCAGAAAACACACCATTTAACGTGAAATTGATTACTTTGAGTACACTTATTCTTTAGGTCTCTACTATTTTTCTTGACAATGTAGGTTTAAGACTGAAGTTTAATTTGGTGCCTGAAACTTCAAGCTGGATATTGCTTGTGTTGTTTCATATAAAAAAAAAAAATCCAAATCAAACCACCAAACGACCACCCCAACCTTCATGTTGCTTCTGCAAAGGACTGCTTGTCTACAGATCCAAATGCTGCATTACCACAGTATTTGTCAAATATTTTCTCAACTTTTTCAGACCCACTTGAGAGAAAGGGAAAAGACTATGAATTTAAAAGGCTCCAAATTTTGTGCCTGCTTAATATATAGCCTTTACTGAGGTAACTGTCATGCTTTCAAAGCATTCCTTTAACTTGCAACAGCTGCTTTGGTTGTACTAGGGATAGCCTGCCTTTTAAAATAATTCATGTCAACAAGCAGTACACGTTATAGTTAAATGTTTCTCAGAGATATTCTTTTAAAATAAAAATAACATTCCTAGATAAAATTAATCTATTTCATGTGTACCAAACTTGTGTACTGTTCCTTTTGCTTCCGGATGTTTGTTATGCCTTAAGTTAAATGAATTTATCTACAAGCTTCAGTGAACAGGAGTTCCTACTCTTCCATACACACCCTAGCTTCTCTGTATCCAGGCTATATCTCTAGAAAGGATTTTCTGCATTTAAAATAATTCTATGAAGCATCCACCTAACCCAAAAGTAAACCAACTGTATTAGTTTCCAGTTTTAAATGTGTATTCTTAACTGAGGAAACGAGAGAAAGAACAGTATCAAACTGGGTACCAAAACTCTTTGCTCATGAAAATAGAAAGAGAGATGGAAGTAACAGCAGGAACACAGTCTGAACACTACTCTACTAATTACTAAACAAGATATTGGCAAGATTTTGAACCATAGAGACAAGATTACATTAACAAAGGAGATCATCTTTGTAATATATAGCTGCAGCATGACAAGAGAACAAATGGCTACGGACCAGAGAAAATAACCAAACCTGAAATAATGCACTAATATGAAGAGCTTTTTAAGATTATCAAGGATAGCAGAACAACTTGGGTGTTATAACACATATTGATAAGAAAGTCACCTGTGAAATACCAGGGATAATGCTAACGGATATCACACATTCCAACTTTTCTCATTACCTTTCAGGTTCTTCAGGGGAAGAATGTTATCTAGTGGTCAGAAAATGAGCAAGAGGACTTTAACAGTGACTCTATATAGTCTTCAATTTAGCTATACATTCATACCTCTACACTTTCAAGACCACAATCTTTTTATGATTCCACATCTGGGAAATTGTCAAGAGACAGATTTAGTTTTAAAGCTTGCAAAGGCATGAGGCTACAGAGGCTTACAATGCAAGTTTTCTTAAGGCTTTGTAAGAAGATGCATGCCTACAACATAACGTTACTATGCTTGAGGAACACACAGAGAGCACAGCACACCTACGAGGTGAAGATAAATCCAGTACACAACATGGTGTTCAAGATATGCGGCCTATACATATTATTTCACATTGAACTTGTGTGGATGGAAAGATTTCTTCCTTTTTTTATAAAAAAGTAATAATAATTCTTTTTCTTTTAAACACTGAATTTAAATATGAGATGACAATTTAGTAAGCAATAATCACAGATCTCAATTTAAAACTTGCTTGGTAGTTAAGGAACAATTATTTTGCTTTTTTTATTAACATGACACGTGAACTTCAATTGCATAGTGAATAATCTATGCACAAGATCACACCTGGGGCACTGTTAAAATGATTAAAAAAAAGTTTAGATTGATATCTCCTGACTAAAGTATTCTCTCTATTTTAACTTACAAATATGCACCTTGTAACATTTGCTCAGGCCATTAAACTCTTGAATGTTTTCAGGTTAAGATTGTACATACTTATGTGTGCATAATCCACATGCTTACAAGACGTAACTGCAGTCTTTTTAGAAGAGGTTTCAAAGCAGTGTATTTAGTCTTTCTCCAGAACAACTACTCATAGAAGCAGAGAAGTATCCAATAATTGCTTTAGTTACTGTGCTTTAACTAAACTTTACCCCCAATGCACACTCAATAAATTTTAAGTAAGTGAACTTAATTTGCTGAGAAAATACAAGCTACCAGTGTTAATAGCCAAAACTGCTCTTATTCACAGACCTTGCATGAGAACAACAGAATGCCATTTGGAAGTAGAGTGTCCCACCTTATCGCCATAGATCACCACTTCGAATTAGTTGAACAGAAATATTTATCCGACTCCTTACAGCAGATAAAACTCAAACTGCACAAAAAAATGGGTCAAACAGATGTAGCAAGTACCAGAACTGGAAAAAACCCAACCCTGTGGCCGCACTAAAATGGTGCTGTGCTTCGGCCAAATGAGAGAGATTTAAGTGGTATAGTTGGGTTACAGGAATGACTCTAAAGTGAAATCCTGAGAAATACTGTTCTGAGTAAGGGGTGGGGAAATTAAAATCAGAAGCAATGCAATGTTGGCAGACAGTATCTTTTATTAGACCAGCTAGAATAGAGGTGAAAAAAGGAAACAGCCTATCATCAATACACACCCTCCTTTAGAAAAGGCTGGGAAGAGCCCAGAAGTTGGACTTTTCCAGTTTTCTATTGTCCTGAGGCATTCATGCTTACAAGAACATTATAAGAGAGACTCAATATCACTTTTAACTTGGAACTTTACACAACTCCACATTAATGTTGGCAATTTCAAATTAGCAAGTGTAGTTGTATTTCAAAGGACTTGTGTAAAAGTTACTGTTCACAGATTCAGCACTGTAACCTCATGTTATTATAATCAAGTAATTAACCTTGATTTCTTCTAAAGCTTAATTATTCAGAATCTGAGTATTAAGCAAAGGAACATGACAAGGAAAGTGACGTACCTAGACCCAACAGCGCCATCACCAGAGTCCTGGCTTCCAGCCTCACTTGGTGTACTCACAGATTTGGAAGACGGAGAGGTAGGAGGAGGGACTAAATAGTGAAACAGACAGGTATCCGCTGTTACTATTCGCAGAGGTTGCACAGCTTAGGATGTTTTAAAATTAATTTAACATGAGGTATTAAAAAAAAAAAGTGATGGCAAACAAAATATACATGGATGAAAATGAACAGTAGAAAGAGAGGGGAAAAGACAATGTTAACAATTCATGCTGGACTTTCATGCAGTTGTTTGGCATTTATGCACTTTGAGCATAAAAAAAGACATGAGGGAAAGACAGTTAAGAGAAAATGAATTGAAAATATATTTTTAAACTGAACTTCTGACAAATGATGGCATCAATTTTCAAAGGACAATTTCCACTAAACCACATCACTTAAACATAAATGATAGTTGTTAATACAACTTTTACATCAGTTTTTCTTAAAAATTAGCCACTGAATGTATTTAATTGGTAATGTTGCTTCTAAAGATACAATCACCAAAGTGTGTTACAAAAGAACTGGCTTTGTCACACAGCACACTTTACTTCTGTTCTAGTTTGAATCAAATCAACACAAATCCTGTGTATTACAACAAAAAGTTTCCAGACTTAGGTTTTGGGGGACTTTTGTGGGTTTTTTTCTTTCAAAAAAATATAGTAGTGTTATACTGAAACTTTTTCCTAAAAGTCAGTTAATTTTGAGCATGTAGATGAAGACTTCAATTAACACTTAAAAAGCAACATGCTTTTTTGACCTGATACACTAAAGTGAACAACATAATGCAATCTGATGAAACACAAAGCTATTTTGACATTTCTTTCTACTTTTCTTTTTAGAAATAATGCAATTCATTATTTAATGAAACTTAGGTTTAGGCTTAAGAATCAGGGTTTGTGTTGAAGGTCCTTATATACTTCATTTTTCAGCAATATGTAAAATGTTCATAGAACAGATTAACTCCTCAGCAACCCTTAAAATGAACCTGTAATCAACTGAACAGAAGTTCTGTATAAAAACTGGGATCCACTCTGTTAGGGGTCAGGCAATTTAGATCTGCAATATTTTTAAAGATCACAGGTACACTGTGAATCCTGAAGCACGTTTCCATCCCATCCCAAAACAGAGACATGATTCTGGTTGACGAAAAAAATATACCCTAAAAATTTACAAAAGTACACTGAATTCTTTAATTTATTGAAAATTCATTCCTCCTACAGGAGAGACTTTTATGTAGAGTTATACTTCTTAAATTTATACTTACACATAGTTAAACTTTATATAAATATGAGTGTATATGAGTGTGTATAAATATATACATATATATTCTTCAATCCATCATTACCAAATAATTTATACTAAAGGAAATTCCCACGTTATTTTTGTGCATTACCAGAAACGACGACATTTTAATGTCACTCTCCCTTAATTCAAGTGACATTAGAAACATATCTTGTTACCATTTACAGAAGTCAGGCAGCACGGCCAAAAGAACCCATTAACTTAGTTTTGATGCTACAGTGCCCTCTCGTGGGGCAAACCGTTTTGAAGAAAAAATTTCTATTAGTGAGGTGAAACCTATTTAAAGATCAACAACGTTAAGAAAAGACCAAGTAAAAATCCACCTACCCCAAAAAAGGATGAAAAAGGATTTTGGTTCACTATCTTATGCCTTCCTATACAACCAGTATGGTAGATATCAAAAGCATACTTACATTGTTAAGGCCCCTTCTCCCATAAAAGAGCTACCTTACTCCAGCAGTTAACAGGACAGGAATTGTGTTCAGAATTTTTTATACAAATTGCTATGAAGGAATCTAATCTCAAACTATCCACCTACACCAATTATGAAAGCTCAAGTTATCTGCACATCAAGTTGGTCAGCTGTGAGTTAGCTTCAGTTCAGGCATACAATCACTGTACTTCTCAAACTTGGCCAGTATCCAGTCAGCAGACCAAGTCCAAGGCTAGGCATGCTACTGTGACTACCAAGTAAGACGTTTTAGCTTGATTTAGGATCCAAATTGGATCTGGGTATCTTGACAGAAAACAGAATGAATTCCCTGCAAATCTATGTACATGTACATTGAAATGTGTGGCTAAGTAGATGCTCAATGGAATTTAACACAATACTCACAGGGGCGTGGCCCAGTCTTACAGGCCAGCACCTCAAAGAGCTTTTCATATAAGTATGCCAAGTCTATGCAATGACTTGTTTTAGGACTGACTATCCTGTGGTTTTTAGATTCTCCCTCTCAGATTTAAAAAGCCACCACCAACAATCATATCAATTTCTGCCAGAGCCTCATCAGCTGCCTGAGCCCAGCCTCACACAAGAAAGCATTCAACTATCAGTCTGACAAACAAAATCTCTAGCAGGTAAGATCTGATGATTTAAAGTGCTGTACATTAGACCTAACATAGCCCAAATTCTCTAAATGGCATTCTCTAAACTGTGAGAACAGCTTAAGCTACTAAAAATTACGTAGTGGCAGTTAGAATGAGAGCAGCTATAATGCTTTTTATGCCACATTCACTTTTGAACACTTGAGGACTATGCAAAAGCAATTATGAAGATACAGTTGCAGATATATCTTATCTGTAACAAATTATTTTTATTTGCAAACCCAGTTGAAATAGACACTCATCGAGCCAAACTGAAAAACCCCTTAGGTTTCAGAGCTAGAGTCAAAAAGTGGAATTGAATTATCACCTTTTTCACTCTCATCTTCCAGAAATATGCGGCTATGTAAAGGAAAAAAAGCAACAACCAATATGCTAACCCATCCAAGAGTGGCACAGATATGAATCATAAAACTTAACTACCAAGGATGATAGTTAGCCTTGCTATTAGTCCATTAAAGTCATGTATTTGAGATAAGGAAAATTAGGGTGCAAAAGAGGCAGAAAGGAAATAAGCCAAGTGTGCACAAAAATAGCAGAATTAAAATCTGGTATTATGAAAAAGAGAAAGAAAAAAATACAGATGAATAACATGCAGGGAAAATAAATTAAAAAAAAGAGCAACAAATACATGATGTTTATGCATTTTAACTAAAGAACTCCAAATAATCCACTAAGTGTAAAACATACATTTTACAAAAGAGTAATGCGTACTGAAGCACATCACTCAACATTTATAACAGAGATCATGCAGGACAAACCCCAGACATGTATACCCCAAAAAACAGTGGCAAGAGAACTTTCATGCCAGCTGTAGAAACACCACAATCCTAACAAAATCAATCCACCAACAACCCCCCCAAACCACACCCAAAAAAACAACCCCTGAAAAACACCAAACATTTATCTCAAATAAATATTAACATTCCTACCAACAGGAGACTCAGGTGTCAACCCCATGCTCTGAAGTAATGCTTCAGCTTCTCTTCTCTTCTTTTCAAGATCAGATTCTTCTTGTATAGGAAGGGCTTCTTTCTTCTGATCAGTCTATAAATAATTCAATAATTAAGTTACAGCATTTACCAGATATTAAAAATGGTGGGGTTTTTTTGAGATCTCGTAGGTTTTTTATACTACTGAAATCTATCATCATACAGGTTAGATATTTGACTCCAATAACTCTGTTGATCCTTTCTGTAGGTAGAGCAAGCAACAGATGGGAATCACAAAATTCTGCAGCTTTGGTACAGTCTTTAAAAGGCATACATAACTTGCAAAAGGTGTCTTCTCATTTGTCAAAATGACTGACACTTTGTAAGATCAAGAATACCTCTTTCACACTAACGTAAAGCATTGTAAAATGAAGACTGAAAGAAAATGTATTGTGTACCTGTGTATAAAAGTATTTAAGACACAGTCATATAGTTCCGATTTTGAAATGATAACAGTGTCAAAGAAAACACTGTAGGGTTAGAATAACAGTAAGAGACACCTTTCTTCAGTCAAGAAGGTATTAGGCACTTGGCTAGACAGAATACATACTGAAGTGCATAGCAACTAAGAAAATGTCTAAGATGTAAAAGTGGGGATTGTGATAAGCTATTGCATCACATGTAGAATCTCAGAGGCAATACATTGTTAAAAGATCATCAGAACATAGCCCGAGATATTTCTCTCTCCTTTTTGTCTGAGTCATGCAGCCGGCAGCTTCCCAGTCCTCAGTCATGTGCTGATGTAGAACACAAGATCACAACCAAAACACAAAGTCTTGAAAAAGTACCTCAAATAACCAAAATATTCCAGCAAAAGTTCTTTTACAATGTAGAATTTGCATTCAGGAGAAACACAGTGATAAATCACTGATTGTCACATACTTTAGCAGAGAAAAAGCCAGAAGATTATTAACACATCAAGTTAGCTTGTGTATATCCTACACAAGTAGCATACACGACCCTAGTGTTGCTCTGAACTTAAAAATTCAGGCTAAAGACTAGTCAAAGAGCAGAAGAATTTACACATTTTTTTATAGAATAGTAATACTGACGGTCAGACAATTCCTGTGGACATCCTCAGGACTGCACTTCAGAAGCATGTTCTCTAACACCATCACAACTCATTAAGCAGATGTTTTGTGCAATACTTTACAGTGCTTAATGGTATTCCCCCCACACAAGTAGTTCTAGAAATCAAAAGTTTATGCAAGTGTAGGATTAAAAAATAAATTTAAATCTAACTTGTCATATGGATAATTCTAAAGAAGACAGTAGGTGTTTGCTCTTACAAGAAAACAGAAGTGCTACATTTGCATCAGCAACCAATCATTAAACAGACACTCCCTGAATAACATGTAGCAAATGGTTATTAAGTTAACCTACCCTTATATTTTGGACAAGTTAACAGGCAAATTTCAAAGAGAAAATAATTTCTTACTTCTTTCTTCTTTCTTTCCTCCTCCTTTCTTTTCTTCTCTTCTCTGATTTGAGCTAATCGCTGTTTCTTGCGCTCCAACTCCGCCTTCAGTTCACTTTTGTCAGACATGGCTGGAACCCTGAACAACAGAAGCATACCAACATTTGGTTTTGGTTTGGGATCTTTGTTTTTCTCTTAGTTAGGTTTTTTTGTGTTGTTGCTGATTTGTTAAGATTGCAGCTTTCCTTTAAAGAAGCTACACTAGCTTACCTAAACCAGAACTTCAAAAAGCCTCCAAATAATAATAGTAACACCCCCTCACACACACATTTCCATTTCCGTATTTATTTCACTTAACATATTCTCAATACTAAATGATGGATTTAAAACAGAACTATGATATGGTGATGGGTCACCCTAGGTAGTTCTGATACTGTCTGAAGAAACTGCTTTGAAAGAAATGTTAGGCACTGAAGATGGGACTATCTGATCTTTCTATAGGATTTGGTACAGTTACAGACCCAACTATGAAATTGAAAACAGCAAGGAGAGTAGCAGCACAGCATCTGTCTTTTACTTTTCACTTCAAGAGCTTAAATATTGACATGCTATAACTTAGGAGTATGTATGCTATATATATCTTTCTATATACAGTTGGAGGATTCAAAATATAGATTTATTAAAATATTTAGTAGGATTACTATAAATAACAAGGCAAAGTAAGTAAAAGCGTGGTGGTCAAAAAATCCCCCTGTAAAGTATGTGCATTACCAATTCTTCCCCAGCCTTTTTGTACAAGGCTGGTACACCTTTTAAGACACAAATTCTACAGAAAGCTTTGCTACATAACTGATTCAATTAAATATAGACAACAAGGTCAACAATAAAAGGTGAGGGGAAAAAAGCCACGTTGTAATAAAGACCTTATAACAGAGGTGGGGAAAACTGTGAGAGAGCTGAGTGATTAAAAGCTTAATTTTACTGGTTTTAAGCAAATCCAAATCTGTAAAAAGTGTAGAAGTGGGTCTGTAACAGACAAAGGATCTATAAATGCTTTTACACTAATCTTCAGATAGCAGAACAAACAATAATAATATAGCTTTTATTATAACATAACGATTCACCAATTCAATATTAAGAATTCCTGCATAGCACATCTAAGCACAGAAAAGGATGCAAAATGATGCAAGCCTCGTACATCTACCCCAATATTCTTAGTAGTATGCATACTGGGGTAAGTCTTCGTATTGCCTCCGCGTTGCTTGCAAGCATTTAAGCACTGATAAAATACATAACCCCCCCCCCCCCTTATTTCGGCATTTTCAACTGGCACTCTAGTGTCACTTTAGAGCAGCTCCGGGAAGGCGCGCTGTCACCACACCATGGATTCCTGCCCCCACCCGTCCTGCTAACACCACCCGAGGAAAGCAAAGCGGAACAAACGGAGCCGTCCCCGAGGGAAGGGGAAGGGAGAGGAGAGCACACCGCACCCCACCTTCAGATGACAGCAGCAGTAACCAGGTGCCGCCAAGCTAAATTCCGCACCCACGCCTCTCACGGGCCACACCGGAAAGGGAACCCTGACAGGACCCTACCTCACCCTAGGCCCTGGAAAAAGCAGCAGCACCTCAAGAGCCCACCCATACCCTCTCCCCCTTGGAGGGCCGAGCCCAGGCGCGGGCCGCCCCGGCCCCACCCTGTTGCCGCGCCCCTCAATCGACAGGGCGAGGCTGAGTGACGGCGGGCCCCCTTCCCCACGGAGGCAGCGGCGCTGAGCCGCCGCGGGACCACGCGCACCAGCAGCGGGACCTCCTCCAGCTCCAGACACCCTCGACCGCTCGTCCCACTCCGCTTCCGCCGCTTCACAAAGGCACCGGCAGCTGACAAGGAGGTAGCCTACGGCGGGTGCCGAGGGTCAAACCAGCTCTGAAAGCGTCGCGGGATCCGCAGGAACTTACGGGAACTGCAGACAGACACGGAGGCCTATACAGTACGGCGAGGCGCTCACGGGGGAGCGAGCTGACAGGAATTCACACGGGGAACGACTGAGGCAACGAGGGGATGAGGCGCTTCCAGAGGCCGAGCTCCGAACCCCTCCAGCGGAGCGCCGGTGAAGTGGCTCTGAGAACAACGACGCCCAACATGCAGCGCGCCCCACTGGGCAGGCGGGAGTGTGGCACGGCTGCGCGAGGCATGATGGGAGCCGTAGTCTTTGGGGGACGGGACGGGACACGGCACACAGCTACCCGCTGCCGCTCTGTGTCGGGGGCGCGAGGGCGCACGACAGGGCCAGAGACAGACAGGGAGCGCAGCGCGCGCATGCGCGCCCTGCTTTGGTTGCCGGCGGGAGGGCGGTGGCCGTGTCGGCGTCTCGCGGTACCCCCTCGTGGCGGGGGGGGGGTCTCGCAGGTGGGCCTCGCGCCTATGGCGGCGCTGAGGGGTGGCGGGTCCGCGGTGAGCGGCCGCGCTGTCCCCGTCGCTTTGGTTTCCGATGAGGAGACCGACTTGACAGCATGATTCTAATCGTAGGCTGAGGAGGCCAGCAGCCATGATCGCTCCAGTGGGCTGAGGATACAATCTATAGAAGCCTGGTGAGGCTAGGGACTGAATTACCCAGGCTGAATCCACTTGGCATGGATGTCAGCGAGCGGAGTTCAGTTGTCAGTTTGATGTGGTGTTACGCATCAGCAGACCGCTTCATTGCGTGCTGAACGCGGCAAAGCGGTGCCAAACCCACACTGCACCGATGAGCGCCACACGGAAATGAAGTTACACGCTTCATTTTGATACAAGTACCAACTGGTAGTAAGGGATTTTGCTGTTCCCCACTCACCATGAATTAATGAGTATATTGCCACATGTATCCTGTGGAAGCATGAAGTTTTCCTACCTTTCTTCGTAACTGCTGAGCTAGTGCTAGTGACTGCTGTCTCAATGAAGTGCTTGCTTCCTCAGGCTGCTGATCTTCCAAAACGGTGCTTACCGAGGCAGAATTAATACGGACAGCTCCTATAGTTGAAGTGCAGCATCTCTTCACAACACTATGAAATGGAAGTTTTTGAGGTAATAGCTATCAGCTCCAGAGAGGGTTAATTTTTCAGCTATCGCAAGCTGAAATAGTTCATTTAAAGTCACTGGCTTTACAAACGTTTATGTCTGGTGAGTATATTTTCTGAACTCCTGCTGACCAGCACTGGAAAAGGACTGCATTTGCAGTCAGCCTCTGTCAGGCAGCAGTGTTATGTATCATAGAACAGGTTGGTGTGTGCTTTGCTGGGATAGCTCCCAGGAGAACTTCAATTGCTGCAGGAATCACTGTTGATTACTTACTCCTCTGTCGTCTTCCATGTGAGATGGGGTTCACTACTATACCTTCAGAAAAATTAGAAAAACTGTGTGTTGTCTAGATGGCTTCTGATCATTGAATAACCCCCATGCATTTCATAAGAGTATGGGTGTTACCATTCAGAGAAACTATAAGTGAAACTGTCAAAGAAAATTGTATGATGTGCAAGAGAAGGGGGTGCATTTTTCTTCAGAGGTGGAAATATGAAGATGACAGTAATGAAGTTCCACAAACAGCTGTTGTCTTTAGTTTATTTGCCAGAATTTTCTAATATTATACAATAATGCATGGACCTCAGAACAGGAACATATGTTTTATTTCTGTGTTTTACATACGCTTCTTGTTTGGTCATAAAATACCCATTTTGTATTTGAAGCTTTCCAGTAATATTTTTCAAGTTTACATTTAAAATCATGAATGTAGGAGCCAGATATTTCACATCTGTAATGAATTCAGCTGGTTTATTTTGGGTAATTGATCTTCAAGGCTGAAGTTTATTTCTTGGTCCTGAACCAACATATATCTGCTGAAGGTTGTGTTACTACTTTTTACGTGAGTCCTTCATTTTAGAACACAGAAACTATAATAGCTAATTTTTGCAGCACTGGCACCCCCATTTTTCTTTGTAAATGATAGCTATAGTTTTCAATAGTGGGGTCAGTTTAGCAGTGACACTAACACTGAGAGAATGCTAACTGTACCAAATACGTTTGTGATTTTTTTAGCAGTCATTGATCTCATAATTAATATCAGTTTAAATGATCTGATACGGTTTTTCATCAGCTGGAAGGCTCATGAGGTACATGGTGGGAGGACAGGTTTCCAAAAGTGGATGTTTACAAGTGTTTTTTTCTAGCTTCAGCTTCCTGTTGACAGTGTCTTTCGGTATAGTGAACCCCAATTTTATAATGTTCTCTAAGAACATAGAGAAGTTATACTGTGAGGTGGACTCTTTCTGCATCTGGGTCTGCGAAGCCAGCTTGTAAGGGATTTTAAGCACCCAATCTATGCATTGGGCCTAGAATGATCTTAGCTTAGTTAAGACGTGAACAAGAGATTTAGCAGTGATTGTGTACCCATATAAACAGAATTAGTGTATTACTGAGAAGTTATTTTGAAACATGTAAGGGAATTATAAAGATGCATAAGGTCTCTGCTGCAGATAGGTGGGAATCCAGACCAAAGAAAAGAAGATACCATTTAATTCAGGAGAGCCTCTCCTTTTGTCTTTTGGAAAACATCAGACTTCTCTGCTGCCTGAATAAGAAGAAGGATAGACAGCAAAGGGCTCAAAGTGTGCCCTCAGCTTGCTCTGTTGCCTCATTGTGCTGCTCAAGAACAGTGACTTAGTCTGGAGCATGAGCCCAAGATCTATGCTGGAGGTCGTAGTTCCCTTCTCAAGTAATTGCCACTGCTGTGCTTTCCTCTCTGTCAGTGAGAGATGGAAAAGGCAGTTGCCCTGCCTTTGTCCATTGAATCTCATTTTAATTTTCTTTCTGTTATCATATTTGAGGAGAATTAAATGTCCATCTCGGGGGCTTGCTGGAATTGAAATAATCAAGATCTCATTCCATAATATAAAGATATGACTTAAGATACTTAAGTATCACTTAATAGTCTGTGCTTTTCCCATAGGGAATTTGCTGTGTTGCTAATACAGGTTTCTCTCTTTCTCCTCCCCCTTTCCTATTCCTGCTTGAAGGGCATTTTTTTTTTTTCTGTTGTGTCAAAATAAGGTCATGATGAATGATGGGTCCTTTCTGAGATGAGAACACTTCTGCAATCTGGTAACCTTTGCCACAAAACACACGCACTAGTAAATGGTTCAGCACTTGGAGTGATTCACTACTAAGCATTATAGAAAATAAGTTTACCAGTTGAAAAATTCCAAGGCAAGTTTTCTTTCTTTGCTCTGTGGTTTGTGTATGGTATGATCATTTTTCCCTATTATGTGGTCAAGAGAGGGGATAATGTGAGCTTCTTAAGGGATCCTGTAATGCACCAAAACTTGCAATAGTTACAACAGTTTTAAGAGAGAGCATGAAAATAGCCATGAGATCAGCTGAAAGGAACTATTTTCAGCTGTGTTGTATTCCTGGCTATATTCTACCATCAGTTTGTGCACCTGTCTCCCATTAACCTTTATGGAAGTTTTGTGTATTCATCAAAGGGGAACATGTTTGAATATGTGATAACAGAGTTCCTTTTGTATGTTTTATGCAGCATTACTAGCTGAAAAGATAATAGAATAAGTAAGGAGAGAGGTGTTCACTTTTTTCAGGGGCTTTTTTAAACTTTTAATTAGGAATTCAATGATTTTTCTATATGTTAAGCAAAAGGGGTGTCTCATGTAACCTTAAAGTGCATTCTAGACTAGAGTTAATACAAACAAAGGCACACTAAAATACTAAGTTTTACTAAAAATGATTGCACTTTTCATCCAGTGACATCAAATTATCTCATTCTAGAAATGTGAAATAATTACCCATATCATGTACATAATAATTGCTCACAGATGTTGCAAGAGAGTTAAAAAGAAGTGACAAGACCACTGGGATTAGAATTTAGGATTCCTAGCTTCCAGTTTTCTATTCTTACCAAAAAGTAGTATTTATTCTTCTGCAACTGTTAACTGTAATGGTTACCTTCTCATTTTTTCACATTCAGGAATTAGTTGAGTTGCTGACTAACAGCAGCAGTCAGTACTATTCAATAAAGATCGGCGCCATGGAGTCATTTTACTGCTAACAGCAATATGAGTAAAGATAGAGTTTGTTCCTTTTTTCAGTCTTTAATACTTGCTAATGTGTTAGAAGAAGGTCTGAAAAATTACATGGAATTAAGTTATAGAGTGAACACATAAAGAGTAATTTTTAATATAAAAAGATTCCCAGAATATCTTCTGCTTTTTAACTTGGATAAATCTTTACTTTTAGCATACGTTGCAAGCAGTAGATAGTTTGAAATATATGTATTACTATCAGAATCCAAGCTCCTAAGCTGTATTTATAAAATACCTGAGTAGAAAGGAGATGGCACAGTATATCTCCTGTAACAATTACTACAGCTGTATGGTTTATGCTTTCTGCTGGAACATATCACAAGTGGCAGAGCAAATGCAGTAAGAAGGGACAAGATAACAGGAATGTGTTCCATGTTCCAAACAAATCTATAGAGACTTGGTCCAAACTGGAAGTAGCCCTTCTCTGGCTGAATATTAACCAGACTATGACTGAATTTCATTCTCCTTGTCCTTCCATCCATAACAGTGATATTTAAGCCTCATAGCATTCTGAATGTTTGAAAGGGGATTTCCTGTGGATCTTGCAACATCTGGTTGCATCTTGAAAATCTGGTTGGCTGTTAGTGAAGACTGTTGCAGCTAAACTGTATTTGAATTTGGTTCAGAATTTTGTTGCATTTCAAAACTTTTAAAATTAGTCTTGTGTGCATTCCTGTGGGAAAAAATGTTTTCAATTTAAGCCACATATAATGTTCATAAACATTATTTCATTATTTGGATAGCTAAACCCATCTACTTGCTAGTTTAGGGCTAATGTTAGTTTAATTTTATATGCTCCAAACACCCACATTTCCTTTGTTTTATTTATAGATTGGTTTCCTCGACAAGCACATCATATTATCTTAACCTGTTTGTTGGGTTTGCCTTTTTTTTTTTTTTTTTTAATTAGGATAAATTTGATCTTTCTACTTTGCTTGAACAAAATTTGACCACATTAATACCCTGTTATTCAATCTATTTCATGAGTGTTTTGGATTATGTTTCCTTGTGAAATAGTCTGACCTGTGGAAGTAGTTTGTTTAAAAAAAAACACCCAACATTTTGAAAGAAATAATCGGTTTAGGTTTGAATAGGACATAATTCTCTGCCCTTGATTACGTTAGTGCATCTGTATTAAGACAGAAAAAGGAAAAACTGAAAAAGGCCTTCTGTAAGGCTTGTAAGTGGAATCTAATGTGGGAACTTGTATATACTTAAATAAAATGGACTTAAAATCATGACAGTTGATTTTAAGACTCAAGAAAGCCTTAACCCAATGAAACACACATTATATAATGCTAGAAATTTAAACAGCTTCTACTTTCAGTTTTTTTAAGGCTGAGAGAAGTATACAATTTCCTGCAAATAAAATATATATTCCTGGTATGCATGTGTGTAAATGGAGATTTCACCATTGCCAGATTTTTATCCAATAAATGCTTTTAACCATAGGTGTCATCACCACAGTCTTGATGGTTCAGTGCTCAGTTTTCTGTGGACTGAAATCTATCATTTCCATCAGGAAGAGTTTTATAAAATGGAGCCTGTTTGTCTCAGAGAAAGCTGTTTGTGGCTTTGTTTTGTTAAATCTCTTCTACGTGGGTATTTTTAACAGGAGATTAGACAGCTATTTTACGTTGAAGTGCAGCAATTCTGCTAAAGCAGGTTGGGCTTGATCTCTGGATGTCCTTTCCAAGTCTGTGTTCTGTGGTTCTGTGAGTACAAGAAGGAAAAAAAACGGTGATGTAATTGTGAAACAGCAATCTGGAATCTTATGCAGCTTTAGTAGTTTACGATCAAACTCTGCTTCTCTGAAAAAAATAAACGATTAAAAAAATCCAATTCTTCATTAATGCAGAAAAATATTGTAATAAAATTTAAATTTAATTTCATTATAATAAAATATTAAATATATGTTTATAGCTGGGGGGTTGTATTTATTTTACAGGAAATATAATGTGTTCAGATATTGGAAAAACACGTATAATTTGGCAGGTTTTGTTCTGTATTACATATGCAAAGTAAAGTCTAGCCTGTTTAATTTTTAATAGTGATATGACAACTATTAAATAACATTATTTCTCTTAGTATTATATATGCTAGTAATGTTAGCAAGCTCCAACACACACTTACAGATATGTGTGTAGGAGCAAAATGTACTTACAGCTGTTTTTAAAGTCAGTGGAAGAATGTGATATTTAAGCAGTACTTTCATTAATCAAGGCAATGACTTTTTATTTCACTATAATTCTAAAATATTACATCTTTTTTGTTATTCATTGTCCTAAATTCTGTAGTTCAGGCTGTAATTCAGGAGTAAGGAAAAAAATCCATTATAGATGCTTGCTTAATTTGTTGTGTACGTCCAGACAGCTACTGACCAACTGTTGTGATATACTTAAGACAGCCAGTTAGAGTTCAAGATTAAGTAAAAAGTACAGATCCACTAGATTTTATAATTTTATGTTTATCTTTTTTTTTAATTGATAAGCATTTCATAGAATTTCTTTCTCTGAGATAAAGAGGCTGGTGGCTAGCACATAGAACGATTAAAAGGGATCATTTCCCCAGCTTTTGCCCTTGCTCTGGAATTGTGGGGGAAGTGACTTAGGTCATGCCTTTTTCACCTTGATACCAAAGGAGGAAAGGTGGTGTTTTGCCACCAGTAGTTTTTGCCACTGGTTCCAAGGTCATGGACATATATTTTCTCTTAATGTTGGTTTCTTAGTGTGTCAGATTAACCATATCTGTTTCAATGGCAATAATTCTTACAGCCAAAGCTATGTTAACTGAGATTTGAAAGGAAGCTTTTTGAATGGAAGGCACCACATATAATTTTGAGTGTTACTAAAATCGTATCTGCCTGGCATAGATCATAACTTTTTTACTAACAAAGAAATCAACAACTGAATCATACTTTCATGATTTCTGAGCTTTTCCTCATCTCATAAATTGACAGTTACCCACCCTCATGACACAGGTATAAAGTAAGTGTGACAAATATTATCCAGAGTTTTACAGCGGTTAGCTCAAAATCACTCAGAGATATTCAAGTGACAGTTAAAATTGCCTTTGCAGCTCACTAGTTCCATAATCAGCTCGAAAAAATGTTCTAATTCTCTTAAATTTCAAATACTATTTAGAAGTAAACATTTTAAGTGACTGCAAATTCTAAATTTGAAAACATAAAAAATGACCTCTATAGTGTGGAAATTACTATGGGCCATTGTTTGAACTCCTGAAATGTGCTAAAGCAATTTTCAAATTTACTTCCATTGAGAAGCCATATTACTTTTCATAGAAAATGATCAAAAGCATCAGAGTGGATGTGGTATATTAATAATAAGAGGTGGGACAGTGAGGGTAAAAGAAGTGATGGGACACATATGGTTCAATTCAGCACTTTTCATTTATGCTGGAAAAAAATGTAAATTATGTCACCCTTGCTTGCTAGTGCAAAGTTACCAGACAGGCATCACTAAGTGATCTCTCTGACATTAAAATGACTGGAATGTTATTTCCAACTATTTCTTTTCTTTTGGAAATCTTACAATATCTTATTGCAAATGAAATAAAAAATCCACATATAATGGTGTAAGAAACAAAGATCTGCTTGTAGTCTCAATGATGGATTATTGCCATTCTATCTCAATGCTAATTGAAATCCAGGATGTTTGTATCAAAGCTGCTATGAGACACTTACATATACCTTTCTGCCCCACTGGAAATGTAATCTTTCTATTGAACATTTTGTCCTGGTAAATTCCATCTGCCATAGAAATAGGCATTTTGCATTTGAATCGAGATGGTTGCTATGTTGAATCAGATGATATGGTGTACACTCCCCTTGTCTTTAGATGAAATTGATCCTTTACTGTGTTGAACATAAGACTGTGATTTTTTTACACCTAATTATCTTATTGTTTCATCTAGATGGATTTTGGAATGCACCACTTTTTGATCTTTGCATATATTGGTGTGACACTTCTCTTAAAAAACAGTTTCTCCTTAGATGATAGTACATTTTAAATATTCAGTTACATTCCTTTTCTAAATAAAACATAATAAGATCACAGTGTTTCATTTATTGATAATGTATTTGCTAATTTTATAGAAATTAATATTTGTTAACTTATTAATCACTTTTGCAGCAGTAAAGGAATAATTCTATGTATAATTCCTCAAACTTGATGGAGTAAACCTATTTGTTTTGAAATACCTACAAACTAAGCTATGTATTCAAAATTTTGGTTATTTTACTCATAAGTAATTCCACTGACTTCAGTGAAGAGAGGCACCATAAAACTGAATGGAAGTTGCGTGTGTTCACTTACCTATAGTGTTAAAACTTGTCATCACCTTTCTTTGCAAATGTGGGTTGTTACTTTTTTTGCAATACAAGGTAAATTATACCGAGTGTCTGTACAAAAATCTGTATTTTTTTCCTCTTTTTTTTGACATGTATATGTGCTCTAAGCATTTTCACTTCACATCAAGTGTGTAGAGTATTTGTGAAAGAAAAAAATAGGAGAGATCTCTGGCTATGGAGGAGATAATGTGAAAGCATAAATAGCAGCTACTCTCTGCAGGTATGAACCTGTTCTTATTTAAATCAATGGAAATTTTGCTGCTGATGGCAGTCAATGCAGGATCAAGTCCTTGAGTCTTTCTGCAAATCAATTAGATGTGTTCTTCATAGGCTTTCACGCCTTTGAACATCTGTCTCTAAATTACTGTTGGAAGCCAATCAATTAGATACTTGAGTTCATTTTATGAAAATAAATTCCACAATGTTGTGTAAAATGAAAGGAAATGCTTTAATTTACTGCTTTTGATTTATCCAAAAAGATTAAGCTATATCTGTGATTGTCAGATCACCTTGTTTTATTTGCTGAAACATGTACGACTCGACAGAATGCTGATGTGACTCTTTGTGTATTTGAATTGTTTCTGCACTGAAAAATAGCGCTGGTACTAGGAAGCTGAGAGATGAGATATTGCTATGTCAGGCATTGGACTGAAATACATTTTAAATAGACTCCTTATATGGTACTGTAGCAATGAAAAATTCTGATTTAGTGTCTGCTAAGAAAATTTTGGAAATCCTTTTAGAAGTTTCTTAATCAATACTAAATTTGTCAGTAGTAGCGGATAACCCAATATATATAATCATTAAAGAAAAATAAACAATTTTAAATGTAAAAAGTGGGGCTTATGCTGATTTGGATTTATTTTTAATCTTCTATTGTTCACAGGAAATTCAGTGGTGGCTGAAGAGTATATGAAACAAGCTGGCAAATGCTACAGCATAAGGTTTGCATAAAGCCAATTTTTCCATTTTCCCATCTTCATATGCTGCCTTTTTGGCTCAATAATCTGTTTCCTTGAAGTGCGTTATTGTTAAATGTTGCATTGACCATGAGATCATATAGTGTCGTGTTAAATATTATACTATACTGTGCTGTACTTGCCTAGAGAACAGCATATTATTTTTAAATCTTAACTAGTTATATAGCTTTTATAGATTTAAAATTATGTTAACATCTATTTTATGTAATTAAGATACATTTTAATAGAAATATTATAATACATTTATGATCCTAAATATAACAATTATGTAATGTACGTAACATTAATACATGCATATAGTATACAAGTTACCTTATGCATAATTCATATAATAAAATATTTAGGTTATTATTAGTTTGTTTAATAAATTCAGGTAGTGAGTCAAATCAAAAGGTGCTCTATTTATAACTTTAACAAAGGAGACAAACTTCATGAGGAATTTCAAAACAAAATATTTTTTAAACTGATGTTTGAGGAGTTATATATTATTTTTAATTAGGAGGCAAATAAATAATAAATTTGAACGGAAATTAGAACCTATTGTAATTGATAAATATTTAATAAACACAATTGTATCTGTATGTATTTGCAACCCTTATCCTCACAAACTACTGAATACATTCTCTTCAAACTAAAAATGGTAAAAATATGTCTGTTAGTCCAAGAAAAAACATGAAAGTATTGGAGTAGAGATAATTGTTTTGAGAAGTTATTTTAAGCTAATGAAAACAAGGTCATAGAATAAAAGTGCCATTTCAACCATATAAACTGTAATAAAATCATCTAATGCAGAGTACCTTTTGGCAGGAATAAATAAGCATTGCAAGGCCTGATATGGAATACAGAAATCTATCCAATTGAGTAAACATCAAATGAAGGATTATCCCTACTTGTGAGGAATCCATTCCAGCAAGAAGTTGAACCATGGCCTACTGCATCGGAAATTTGCAGGACTCCCTAGAGAGCTAGGGGGGAATCTGCAGGTTCTGTCATGGGTACACCAAAGCAAAAAAGAAAGACATCTTTCAGAATACTGATCAGACCTTGGTGTTCTGAGTTTTTAAAAGTACAGCTAGGTTCTCTTCATTGTTGCTCTGGATTTGAATGTAAGAAAGAAGTTCTGATTTTCTAAATGTTCTAAAATAAGAATAAAAATATTGTGATATCCTGAAATGTCTTGAAAGGTTAATACAAGGTGCTAAAATGCTACCAAAGGCATAAGCTTGCAATAGTAACAGTTACAACAGGAAAAGAGAAAGGGTAAGCATTTAAAGAGTAATACTTTATTCTATATTTAGCTAGACGTGGAAAGAGACTGTCCAAAGCAAATAACAGCGAGACAACCAGATCTGTGAAACTAGGTATCAGGGTGCTGGGAAAGCATTGAGGAAGAAATTTCTGAGGCTGCAGAATAAAAGTGTTAGGTATAAATACGAAGTGATTGTGTACTGAAGGTCCTGCCAAAAAGGTGGTGCTGGAATATATTGATGCAGGAACATCCTACATATATTGCTTATGTCCTAGCTTCCAGAACACAATGCTAGATGACTCCAGAGCAAAAAACTTATTAATGGAAAATGAGTTGATGAGAGAAAAGATTTTTATATAACTTTGTCAATACAATATAGAAAATAGAACTGCTGAACAAGACAAATAGGATACTCTTAACAAGATCATTAACCTTGTTAGAGGCAATGTCAACAACAAATGTATAATGATTTTGTACTTGAAGCCTTGAGCATAGTAATTTAAAAGCTATGTATTTTAACAGTTATCAGTAAGAGAGGAGATAAGTGAGTATAAAATAATGAAATAATTATTTCTCTTAAAGTGACACTGATTTTTGGTGAGCAAATGTTATTACTTTGCAATTTAATTTTGTAGCTAGAATGAACACCAAGAACTATAATGACTTCAACAGTCAGTTATGGATATTCAACAATTCTAAAAAAAAAGTCCTAAGGCATCTCAAGTAGACACACATAAATGGACACATGCAAAGTCAACAGTCCCCTTCAAAGCTGGTCAAACAGCAGAACTGTCTTTTACTGGGATACCTGCTTTCTTTGGAGAAGGATCATGTTAGGAGATGATGTCTCTGGACACAAAAGCTTATGTGATTTGTAGAATCAGTACTACAAAAGACTTTACAAAGATACCAGATGCTTTTAATTTTGTGTTTTGTATTTCTCCTGCCACACATTCAGATAGCAGGCTCACTATAGTGTGTTACACTTCTCATATGATCAGGAAACCTGTGATCTTTATTGTTTTAGAAACACAGTGTTGCAGTTCTTGCTTAAGCACTGATTGACTTTACTAATGTAAAAGCGATTTTATCCTAGTCATCTTTTCCTTATCTTTTATTTGTAAGCCTTGCTTGCACTAAAAAATGGTTTTAACTAAATTGAAACTTAATTCAGTTTTAATTGAACAAGTGCAGATCCCTTTTACAGAATCCATGTTGCTTTAAGATACGTGATTTTAACTTAGGATATGGTTTACTTGAATATTTCTTTCATTGACTCTCCTGGCTAAAGTAGGTCTCACTGTGGACACCTATTCTCACCCACATTCATAGAATCACAGAATGGTGAGGGACCTTAAAGATTATCTGGTTCCAACCCCCTGCCATGGGCAGAGACACCTTCCACTAGACCACGTTACTCAAAGCTCCATCCAAACTGGTCTTGGAACACTTACAGTGATGAAGTAGCCACAGCTTCTCTGGGCAACCTGTTCCAATGTCTCACAACCCTCATAGTTAAGAATTCTTCCTTATATATAGCTAAATCTGTCCTTTTTCAGTCATTCTCCCTTGTCCTATCACTACATGTGCTTGTAAAAAGTACCTCTCCAGCTTTCTTGTAGGTCCCCTTTAGGTACTAGAAGGCTGCTGTCTGGTCCTCCCCAGAGCTTTCTCTTCTCTAGGCTGAACAACCCCAGGTCTCTCAGCCTGTCTTCATAGGAGAGGTGATTCAGCTCTCTGAGTGTCTTTGTGGCCTCCTCTGGACTCACTCCAACAGGTCCACATCCTTCTTATCTTGGGGACACGAGCTGAACACAGTACTCCAGGTGGGGTCTCATCAGAGTAGAGTAGAGGGGGAGAATCCCCTCCCTCAACCTGCTGGTCATGGTGCTTTTCATGCAGCTTTTAATGGTTGGCTTTCTAGGCTGCAAGTGCACATTGCTGGGTCATGTTAAGCTTCTTGTCAACCAACACCCCCAGCCTTTCTTGTCAAGGCTGCTCTCAGTCATTTTCTACCCACCCTGTATTTGTACTTGGGATTGCCCCAACCTCATACCTTGTTGAACCTCATGAGGTTCACATTGGCCCATCTCCCAAGCTTCTCCAGGTTCCTCTGGGTGGCATCCCTTCCCTCCAGTGTATTGACCGCACCACACATCTTGGTCTTGCCAGCAAACCTGCTGATGGTGCACTCTATCCCACTGTCTGTGTCAGCCACAAAGATGTTGAACATTGCTGATCCCAATACCAACCTCTGACAAGCGCCACTTGTCACTGGGCTCCCTTTGGGCCTTGGCCATTGGCTGCAACACTGTGAGTGTGACCATGCAGCCAATTCTTTATCCAGCAAGTGGTCTATCTGTCAAATCAGTGTATCTCCAATTTGGAGACAAGGATGTCATGAGGGACAATGTCAAATGCTTTGCACAAGACCAGTTAGATGACATCTTCCCATATCCACTAATGCTGTAACCCCATTGTAGATATTTCTCTGTTAATTGGGCTGGTTGGTTGTGTGATCATGTTTTTTTTTGTTTGCACTGATGTTTCATTAAGTGAATCCATAGAGAATATGAATGCACACAACTAGCGCTATTCTGTTTATTCTGCAAGCATTTGTAGTTTTATTTTTTTTCAATCCTGTGTCCGGCTGCATAAAGATAGCAGGTTAAGGCTTATAATACACAAAACTATTCTGAAGAATCAAGATGCTTTAGCACAATATCCCAGCAACCAGAACTGTGAAGAAGAGTCCAGTTAAGATATAGTTAAATATTTTTGCCAACCTTTAATGAACACTGTTGTAAAATTTATAACAGCTAAGATATGTAAACATATATTTGAATCAATGAAAATTAATTAGATAAGCTCTCTGACAGCATATTTGATGTGATTTGATTATATATCCACAAAGGAAGCTTCATGTTTATGAAAGCTAGATTTCCAGTAACATAGTAATGAAATGTAGCACATTTTTGCCAGTGCTTTTGACCTAGTGAAACATAAAAGATTTTTCATTTTGTTTATTCTGTAACAAATGGATGCATGTGTGTGATAACAGTATAATAAACAAGATTGACTTCTGGAATGTTAATGAAAAATCTCATCCAGAAAGTGTGTTTATTTCAAGCAAAGCTGAAGAATTCATAATCCCATCTTTCGGGTGATATGCAGACACTTTTACTGTAGAAATGCAGGCATAATCCCCTTAGACCTTCCATCATAAAACTCAGTTGAAATCAATACTTCAGGCCTTATCTTCTGTACTTAGTGAAAAGCTTTCTTCTTACTATGTTTGTGTTACTGACGTAAACAGGGGCCCTAGTCAGGAACAAGGAATTTACTGTTCAGCGGGCTATAGAAATGAAAAGAAAAAAAGGTGGTCATCACTGATGAGTCCTATAATCCAAGTATAAAACAGGTTCAACTGAGCTAAAAAGTATAGTATAAAAAAAAAATTGAGACAATATTGGCTAGTATGGCAGAGATTTCAATGACTGAAGTCCTGCCAATGTTTGGTAAGTGTCATGGAACAAGAATTTTTAAGCGAATTGCTGTGGAGAGCTGGCAAAACTGGATCCCAACAGTTTAGACAACTGCTTAAGCA